GGGAGTGGGGTTGATCAGGGCTATGGGGAGAGAGCGGGGGAGTGGGGTTGATCAGGGCTATGGGGAGAGCGCGGGGGAGTGGGGTTGATCAGGGCTATGGGGAGAGAGCGGGGGAGTGAGGTTGATCAGGACTATGGGGAGAGAGCGGGGGAGTGAGGTTGATCAGGACTATGGGGAGAGAGCAGGATTGATTTGGAAGCTCTTTCAAAGAGCGGCACAGACACGATGGGCTGAATGGCCTCCTTCTGGATAATTCTATGATTCTATGATTGTCGGCCAGGACACTGAGAGAGAGAGAGAGAGAGAGAGAGGAAAACTCGCTTCTCTTTTCCAATAGCTCCACGGGATCTTCAATGTCCACCTGAACAGGCAGATGGGACCTCGGTTTAACATCTCATACGAAGGATGGCATCTCCGACAATGCAGCGCCCCCTTCCCCTCAGCATTGTATTGGGGGAGCGTCAGCCCAGACTGTGTGAGCTGGCAGTGCCTGGGGGCTGGTGGGGGTTAAACCAGCAAGAGGGTAACTTGTAAGAGGCAAGAGAGAGATGTGCGAGCGACTGAGCCGGGCTGACACCTGTCTGTCTGCTATTAACAGGCGTTAAGACTAGCAATTGCTTGGTACCAACCATTCTCTCCCTCTCGATCCACCCTGAAAACCACTGAACGACACAAGAATCAGAAGAATGTAAAGTGACATAAAAACTATAGGTTTAATACCGCAGAGTGGGGGGAAAAAAAAACAATCGATAAAATCTACACGGCAGACGCCAATAACCTTCCCGTGTCAGAGCTGGTAGGTAGCGTGCGACAGACACACGCAACCAGGATACAGCTGGTATGAAAGTTAAGTTTGTACTGATTTCCTTTTTTTTAATATACTGTACTTAAATCGGTTTAAAGATTAACAGTAATTTCTTTGGGGAGGGTTGGGGGAGGGAGGGAGGAAGGGAGTTTAATGTAATGTACAAATTGCAATTGGTTTACTGCATAGTAGACTATAAAAACGACGGTGAAACCAGTACAAATTATATTAATAAATATTTGGCATTTTTTCTCCGTGTCTAGAACGCACTTCACCATTCTTATTTTACTTGTCCTCTTTTGATAAAAGCTCAAATCAGCCTCTTATAATCTTGATTTGTTTGCGTCTGTGTATAGATATATATATATATAATATATATTTTTTTAAAAAACACACATTTCAGTTTTCTAAAATCAAATTGGCACATTGTGTAGCCTTCGCCAGTGTATCTGTTACTCTCACCCCGGCTTCACTAAGGTCAATGGAGACACTTTGGTGGAGAATTGTCACATTTGAGATTTTACTGCTTTCCTGCTGCTTGTCCAGCTCGGACCACCCTACTCGTTAGTTAGGGCTTTGGCTTACAGGGTTAACAGGAGCTGAGTAGGAGGATTCCCTGCCCCCAGTGACTGGTCGGCTTTTCCAGGTCCTGCCGATGAGCCAGGCCGGGCTGTGCTGTCATCCCTGGAAAACTGCGGACCCACCTGGCTCAGGAACCAGACTAGACACCACCGCACACACCTGGCTCGATTCTATCATTCCGCTGCCAATAGTGTCACCAGTTCAGCTCCAAGCAGACCCCGCTTACCTCCCCGCACACCCCAAGGAGATATTGTCTGTGCGTGCGTGTGTCTGTGTTTCTAGGTATACAATACTTCCGAGGATCGGTGAGGGGTAGAGGATGGTAGACAAATCCAGAAAGTATTGGGAAAAAGAACAACTCATTAATAATGGCAAATGTTTCTCACACTCACACACACCCTGAAACTGATGGAAATTCACAGCAACTCAAATAGGATCTGAGAGAGATAAAGAGATAGAGAGAGAGAGAGAGACAGGGAGGGAAATGGAAAGAATGAGAAATAGTGAGAGAAGAGGCTGAGAAATGCGAAAGGGAGAAATAGAGTGAAAAAAGAAATAGATGGACAAAGGTGGGGAGAAACAAAGCAGAAAAGAAAATGTGTGAAAGGGAGGACAGGGATAGAAATGGAAATGAAGAAAAAGAGAGAAGAGAGGGAGAGAGAGAGAGAAAGGGAAAGAGAGAAATAAAACAAAGAGAGAAAAAGATAGAGACAAAGTGAAAAAGAAAGAGAAAGCGAGAAAAGGCGAGAACATGTGAAAGAGAAAGGAGGGAATGAGAAGAGGAGAGAATAATATTTGGAGTAATTTTCAGGGTCGGTTTGTCCCAGGAGGATGGTAAACCTCTTGTGAGAACTCCCATGACCCAAACAAAGTCTAAGATCACACAGAAACTTTAGAAAATTCTGAAATTCAATCTTAAGTTAGAAACAAGTTTCCCACTTTTCTTTTTGGCGGAGAGGGCGGTGGAGGTGTGGGTAGGGGGTGATGGAGAGATGAGATTCTTTTTGGTCAGCCAGGTGTCTGACACATGCGGAAACCCATCACCGTGCTTAAGAGTATCCAAACAAAACTGAGAATTCCATGCATCCCACCTACACATGGAAATCCCAGAGATAATGGAGGGGTGGGGGGGGAATGGGATGGGGCTGGAGAGAAGACATCAAAGGTTCCCAAAACTGCACCTCCTTTTACAATGACAACAGCTCTGATTAAGGCATCGCAAGAATATCTGTAGCTCAGTTGGCAAGTAGTGCGAGACGGGACAACACCAGATGATCTTTACATAGCGTGTTTCATGTCAGGAGGATGTCCCAAGGCGCTGGACAATCAGGAATTTAGAGCCAAGCTGGGGTTTGGGATCGTGAGGGGTGGCGGGCAGGGAGGGTGGGGGTTGGTGGGTGACCGAAGGTGCAGTCGAAAAGGAGTCTTGAGATGAGCTTTGAAGAAGATCAGAGCGGGGAAGTCTATTACTAATATTGCACGAACAGGGCAGCGCGGCAGCAGGAGCCTGGCCGAGGTTTGGAATTTCCCGGACTTCGTTCCGGACTTAACCACCGCTCGGCCAAACGGCCACAAAGCCGGATCGTGGGGAAGGAGACTGGAATTCCGTGCAGTTGGGAGTTCTGGAGAAACCGGCCCAGGCTCTTGAAGGATCAGCTATTTACAAATTAATTTGCAAATCAAGCTTTCCTCACCCACTCCCTCCTTTTTCTCCCTCTCCTCTCCCTTTTCTCCTCTCTCTCTCTCTCTTCTCATTTTCTGTCTCTCCCCGCTGTTCCCTTTCTCACATTCCTTCGCTTTCACTTACTCTCTACCTCTTTCTCTTTTTCTCTCTCTCTCTTCGCCATTCTCCACAATTTCCTTTGAATAATTAGCTCATCTGACTCACATCATCTTGATGTCAGTCTCTCTCGCTCTCTCCCCTCCACAATAATACTGAGCAAATGTCTCGTTTTGACCCGCTGGAGATTACACAGTTTTTCTGAAACTCTTGTCTGTAGGACCTCAATCCTTTCCTTTCTTACATCATTGGTTCCAACATGGACCGCAACTTGTGGCTGTTCACTCCACCCTCCCCTCACCCTCAGCAGAAGAATCTGCCCCCGAGTGCACTAACTGCTCTGGGACAGTTCCAAAGAGCCAGCACAGGTACGATGGGACGAATGACCTCCTTCTGTGCTGTAGGATTCTCTGATTCCTGCTGGCCTGGCTGGCTGATCCAATTCATTGCTTCATTCCCCCACCCCCACCTCCCCGGCTCTGACTCAAAAGCTCTGACCACAGGAATGGATGAGGAGTAATGTTGCGCCGCCTGCCTGGGGAACCCTTCTGTATTTTAGCAACTAAATAAACAGGGACCGACAGGCAAGGGGGAGAAGGGGGAAGGTTCGGGGTGGGGCTCAAGGCACGGATTACTTGGTTACTCAGTAAAGGCTATTAGCGTTGTTATTAGTCATTGGCCTTTGCCCAACCGGTCTCCCTCGTCACTGTGAAATGGCTTCAGTTAATCAGCGGGAAGATTGCTAACCACTGCTGCTCTCCTGCTAACCAGGACCTCGCAGCTTAGTCAGCGCCTTGAGATTTCCTTCCGACGTGAAAGACACTATTCAAATGTCATTTTGTTGTTGCTGTAGTGTCATATTATTATAATAAATTATATATAATTATATATGTGTATGTTATATACAATTACAATAATAAAAATAATCCTTGCATTTGATGCAGCACGTCTAAAAGTCTCGGAGTATTTCTTTTCGCGACGGTGTAGTTACTGGTATAAATACAGGCCGTGAATTTGGCGAGGAAGGTGGGGGCTGGGGCATCTGAATGGGGGGAGGGGAGATGGGAACCCTCACACACAGACACAACGTCTACACGAACATCAGCAAATGCAGATAGGGTGGGTTCGAACAGTGAATCCAGAGAGAGGGGGGTGGGGGGGTGGAGAGAGAGAGAGAGAATATATAATAATAATCCTTGCATATGATATAGCGCCTTATTCACGTCTTCGAGACACCTCAAAGCAATTCACAGAATATATTGTAAACTGAACTGACTGTATATTTGTGGGCGAAACGCGGCAGCCAATTGCTCACAGCAGCGTCCCACAAACAGCCGTGGATTGAGTGACCACATTTTTTTTTAAGGGATTATTATCCCCGGAAAAGCGATCTGCCTAACGACTAACAACCGGGTTCCTACTTACTGCCAGGTAACCAGAGGCGTGTGTGTGGAGTAAGGAAACTTGCCTCAGGTTTCGCCCCTCTGGGAATCGAACCTTGAACCCGGGTCCTCTTGCGAGTGCTCTAACCACTACACTACAGGACTCCGAATGGTCGTGGGATCCCACAGCACTTTCGCATCACACCAAGCGGTGAAAGTTTATCGGAGTGCAAACCAGAGCCGCTCTGTGACAGACAGACAGACAGACAGACATAGCACGAGGGATTTGATGAGCACACTTAAGGCACAGTCACACAAGGCACTTGAAGCTTGGCAGCCATGTTGGAATTAGTGCATTATCTTGTCGCTTTGGTTCGGGTATTTGGTCTTTGGGTCGCGACAAGGCTGCTCCCCCTCTCTCCTTCCCTTTCTTCCCCTCCGTGCAGCAGCCACACTCACTCTCTCTCTCTCTCTCGCTCTTCCTCACTCTCTCCTCTCACGCTTCAATGCTGCCAAGGTTTCTTGTCCACTTCTTTGTGTCTGGGAATGTGCTTGTACCGACACTTGTCTCCAAAATGGCAGCCTGTGGTCCTCCAGAAATAACACTCTCCTCCGTGTACAGGGCCTCTCCGCTTCACCCTGAAGAGCCAACGCCAGCGGGGACGGGGGGACGGGGGGGGGGGGAAAACAGTGGGGGAGAAGAGAAGGGAGGGAGAAAGAGAGTGGGGGAGGAAGGGAGGGAGAGATATAGTGTGGGGAAGGAAAGAACTTATTAATAATGATAATAAATAATAATCAGAATTACATTTGATACAGTGCCTTACTAATATAATAATCCTTGCATTTGATGTAATGCCTTATCATGACGTTGAGACATCTCAAAGCCCTTCACAGCACAGAATATATTATAAAGTGACTACTTTGTGGGCAAAACGCAGCAGCCGATTGCGCACAGCAGCGTCCCCCAAATATGATTAACACAAGGATTGTTATTATTAATAAACTTACCCATTAGCTGGAGACAGGGATTTGGGCTGTACTGTTATCGGCAATGGAGCAGGTGGCTTCGGTGGCTGGGGAATACTCTTGCTCAGGTGTCGGTCTGGATACCTGATTAGCAGCTTAGTGTTTTCGATCTCTTTACCCTGAGCCAGAGAGAGAGAGTGAGAGAGAGAGAGAGAGAGAGAGGGAGGCGAGGAACAAATGTCAACACAGAGGAGAGAAGGATTAGGAATAAACCCTTCGTGGGAAACAATCGAATGTGATCCACGTTCTTGGCTGGCACAGTAACACTGTCCAACAGACGACAACGACAGTTTGCATTTACACAGCGCCTTTCACGTCGGGAGGAGTGTGGGTATATGAGTATGTGTGTGAGAGTGTTTGTCTGAGTATGTGTGCGTGCGTATGTGTCTTTGTTTATGTGTGTGAGAGCGTGTGTTTGTATGTTAGAATGTGTGTGAGTGTATGTGTCTCTGTGTGTGTGTTTGTATGTGAATGAGTGTGTGTGTGTGTGTGCGCGCGTCTGTGTGTGTCTGTTTATGTGTGTGTGTGTCTGTTTATGTGTGTGTGTGTATCTGCATCTGTCTCTGTTTATGTGTGTGAGTGCATATGTGTCTGTTTATGTGCGTGAAAGTGTGTGCGTATGTGCCTGTTTTTGTGTGAGAGTGTGTGTGTAAGAGGATGTGTGTGAGTGCGTATGTCTGTGAGTGTGTGTGTGAGTGTGTGAGGTGAGAGTGTGTGTGAGTATGTGTGAATATGAGTATGTGTGAGTGTGAGTTTGAGTGTATGTGTGAGTGTGTGTGTATGTGTGAGTGTGTGAGTGTGTATAAGTGTGTGTGTATGATTGGGTGCGTGAGTGTATGTGAGTGTTAGTGTGAGTGTATGTGTTTATGTATGTGAGTTTGAGTGTGTGAGTGTAAGTGTGTGTGCATGTGAATGTGTGTGTGAGTGTGTGAGTGTGAGTTTGTCTGTGTGAGTGTGTGTGTGAGTAAATGTGTAAGTGTGTGCGTGCGAGTGTGTGAGAGATGAGTGTGTGTGAGTGTGTATGTGAGTGTGTGTGTGAGAGAGGTGAGTGTGTACGAGAGGTGAGTGTGTGTGTGCGCGAGTGTGTATGTGTGTGAGAGAGGTGAGTGTGTGAGTGTGCGAGTGTATATGTGTGTGAGAGAGGTGGTGTGTGTGTGTGTGTGAGAGGTGAGTGTGTGCGAGTGTGAGTGTGTGTGTGTGAGTGAGTGTGTGCGAGTGTGAGGGTGTGTCAGTGTGTGTGTGTGTGTTTTTCCCACCAGCCAGCATCCGACTCCCACTCACTCAACTGACTTGAGCTGCACTGACTGTACTTCACACCCCATCACACATCGCACACAGGGAGAGCAGCGCTGTCTGGAAATCCCACTCGCCCCAAACTGGAGGAATGTTGGTGAGCTGGTGGATAGATTAGGGGTTCCTGAGCCCCCTCTCGCTCTCACCACCCTCTGCCCAGACCTCCCCCACCTCCCCCCCAAACCCCCCCACCACCCCATCACTCACCTGCAAAGCCTCCATTGCTTTAGCGGCAGCCTCATGGCACTTAAAATTGACAAACGCGCAGAATCGCTCGTGCAGGATCCGAATACTGTCGATCTCCCCGTAGCTAAAACAGGGCAAAAAGAGGATGACGGGCACCAACTACCTTTCCCCTCACTATTCCCGGACACACTCAGGCAGTGAGACCAGACAGCACAGGGCGGAGGACAACAACAACAACAACAACAATCCTCCAATTTGATACAGCGCCTTATCATGTTGTTGCGACGTCTCAAAGCGCTTCACAGGATTTACTGGAAGTGTAGTGACTGAGTATTTTGCAGGCGAAACGCGGCAGCCAATTGCGCACAGAGACGTCCCACAAACAATCATGGATTGAAGTGACCAAATTATTATAATTATTATCATCGTTCTTCCAGGTTTCAGTTCAGTTCTCTGAAATAGGGTAACAGTGCCTTTGTGGACACCCGGTTGATAGATGTTTTTTGGGGGGGAGGGGGTGGGGGGTGTGGGGCGTGGGGTGGGGGGTGTGGGGTGGGGGGCTGGGTTTGTGGGGGGGGTGTCTGTGGTACATGTTGGCTATGGCTATGGGAAGCTTCCCATTCGGGGGATCTGTGCCGTCAGTCCCTCCTGTGATGGAGACAGGTCTGGCTCATGGAATGAGGCAGTCACAAGAGTGCTGATCCTCAGCGGAATTGTGTGCAGTCAATTACTGGGAACTTCCACAGCGGCTAATATATCACAATACAATTATTCTATACAGCACCCGCAGGGTTTCAAGAGCAGCGTGCGCTCAGCTGGAGTTTTTTTTCAACTGGGGAGCCTGTGGGTTCCGGGACATTTATTGCAGAGAATGAGTGACCTTCATCAATCCTTCATCCAACCATTGGGTGGGCTTCACGCTCACAACACCCAATCTACAAGGCTCGAGGGTGTGGGGGGAGACAGTCCAAAACTCAGTGTGTGCTTAACACTCTCTGGAAATTGGTGAGCAAATTCTTCGGAGGGGGAGGGTGGGGGGGTGGTTGGGTGGTGTGGGTGGGGAGAGGGGAGGGAAGAGAGCGCCTCTCTCCAACTAGACCACGTTTTGTGTCCAAATCCAAAATAAATAATAGTGAATTGACTGTATATTTTGTGGCCGAAACGTGGCAGCCAATCGCGCACAGCAGCGTCCCACAAAAAGTCGTGGATTGAAGTGATCAAATTATTATTATCATTTTTTAAAAAATTTATAGATAAATTATAAAAAAATGACAAGCGTCCAGACACAACTGGCTCTTTACTGACCTGCGATACTTTCATTCATACTCACTTTTTAAACAAGTCTTTCAATTGTTTCTCTTTCACGTGAACGGTTATGTTGCCAACCCATAGCGACCTGCAAGGCAGTCTCGAGGGGGGGTGGAGAGAGAGAGAGGGAGTGAGAAAGAGAGGAAAATATTACTTTCCAAAAGAATTTCTCCTCCTCTTTGGAAAGACAATCTGACTTGTCGAATTTCCAACCTCGGGGGAGTCTCGCCCTCTCATTTTGCACCGCTGTCTGAACAGATTTAATTAATAATCCACCCGTCATGACTTTAACTCCTGTTTATGGTAATCTAACTTCCTCCCAGACTAAGTCCAACCCTAAAGCATTGACTATTTTTTTTTATCAGCCGGGAAACAAAAACCATCGCCGTGTTTAAAGTGTCTCCAAACCAGAGAGAGAAATATCCCCGTACCTGGAATGGAATGTGCACTCGCTCTCTCACTCTCTAAAACTGACTTCTTTTCCTTTGCACTTTTTCTACTTTAGAAAATACTGAAACGGAATACAGTGAAAACCAACGCTGTTCCATTCGCATCCGACGCAGTTCCCAACCCAGATACGTGACTCGCTACAGCTCCTGCATCGGGAGGATGTCTCAAAGTGCTTTGCAGGGTTTATTAACAATAATAATCCTTGAATTTGATATAGTGCCTTAATGTCGTCTCAAAGTGCTTCACAGAATATACTATGAAGTGAATTGATTGTATATATTTTGGGGGCGAAACGCGGCAATCAATTGCGCACAGCAGCGTCCCACAAACAGTCGTGGATTCAGTGACCAAATTATTATTATTATTTTTGAAGCGAAAGATTTCATCCCATCCAGGAATCGAACCCGGTTATCCTTGCTAACCAATATACTACAGGACTCCACTTTACTATCAAATGCATTGTCTGTGTATGAACATTTCGGACATTTTAACCCGGCAGCCAAATTGGGCAAAACCAGGTCCCACAAACATCCATGAAGTGTTTTATTCGGGGGGTGGGGGTGGAACTGTCGGCCAGGACACAAAGAAAAAAATCTCTCCTCTTTTTGAGCAGTGGAATAGGATCTTTACCATCCACCTAAACGGGAACAGATGGGATCTCGGTTTAACTTCTCACCTGAACTTCCAGCGCAATCCCTCAGATAAAAACTCGTCATTCACTTCGCGGCTGTTTGTTGGTACATTGCTGGACACAAACAGACTGCCATGTTCGCCTACAAAACACCCACTTCACTGCACTTTGCACTAAATCCTGTGAAGCACTTTGAGACATCCTCCTGACGTGATAGCAAAGTTTTTTTAGAGAGAGAAAGAGAGAGAGTGGGATCTGCAACAGGTTACAATAACACAAAGCAGACGAGGGAGATCACAGCTCAAGTGGAAATGGAATATCCCAATTTCCTGGCATTGACACGTCAGGGAAAAGTCCAGCATTCCCACAGGCCTGGAGCGGGGAGCGGATCCGTGTGGTTGCCTGGAATTCTCATACAAGAACATAAGGAATCAGGAACATGAGGAAACCATTCCTTCCTTCAAAAGCCACACTGCTATATTACATCACGGCAGATCTGTAATTAAATATCATTTTCCTCCCACATTTCCCAACACATGTTTGCACCCCCTACACACACAGACGTACATGCATGCACACACACACGCGCACACACACGCACACACACAATTCAGAAATTCTCATTTCTTAGTTAGACCTGATAAACATCACAACAACGACAATAACTTCCATTTAAACAGCGCCCCTCAAGCAGGGCAGCGTCCCAGAGCGCTTGACAGTGGCGGAGCACGACACCGAGCCGGGGGGAGGTGGGAGGTGACTGTACACACGGTCGAAGAGGAAGGTCTTCAGGCTCGAAGGTGGGGCAGGAAGGGGCAAGGTGGAGGGATAGAGGGAGAGCGTTTGGGGGCGTAGTGGCTGAATGGTGGAATGGAGGGCACGAGGGACAAGCAGGAGGCCAGAGCCAGTCGAGCGGAGACAGAGGGTAGTGGGGTGGGGAGTGAGCAGGTCGGGGAGTTAGGGAGGTGGCAGGGCATGAAGGGATTTGAAGACGAGTGTGAAAAACACTCAATACAGGATCAATCAACACATTCCCAAACCACAACACAAAGCAGTAAATATGGTACCTACTCTGTTTGACACTCGATTATAGGAAAATCAATTAAAAACAAACTGTCCTCTCCGTCAGCAATTTCAGAGGACGTCCCAGGGTTCATCTCCAGAGCTGAGGCGACAGGAGAAACCACACAGATTAGAAATTAACAGCTTCGTCTGGTGAAACCACTTCTGAGTGACTTCACTGCAGGAATAAAAATAATAATAAGGATTATTATTATTTATTATTTAATATTTACATTTGATATAGCGCTTATCACATCCTCGAGACGTCTCAAAGCGCTTCACAGAACATATTGGAAAGTGAATCGACTGTATATATTGGGGGCGAAACACGGCAGCCAATTGCGCACAGCAGCGTCCCCCAAAACAGCCGTGGATTGAAGTGACCAAATTATTATTAATTTTCTTGAGAGATTATTACTCCCAGAAAAGCAATCCGCCAATCGACTAACAACCGGGTTCCTTCCTACTGCTGGTAAACAGAGGCGCGTGGAGTTTCGCCCCGGCCCGGGAATCAAACTCAGGTCCTCTCGCGTGCGAGGCGAGGGCTCTAACCACTGAGCTACAGGACTCCGCAGCAAATACTGAGTATCCCTCAGTATGTCCTCATCGGGCGAGGGCGAGCGTCAGGGAACACTGGGGGTAACCCCCGACACAGAGCAGTCATCTGGGCTCAATACCTCAGACCAACATCTCGGCCTCAAAAAGGAGCCTGAAAAAGGCCGACGTCCGCCCGTCAGTCCACTGTTGACATCACTGTCCTCATCATCAGCAATGCTTCCCGCGCGCAGCCAGCGCGCAGGAAGTGACATCAGCAAACGCACCGTGCGCCTAGCCAGCGCGCAGGAAGTGACATCAGCAACGCTTCCTGCGCGTAGCCAGCGCGCAGGAAGTGACATCAGCAACGCTTCCTGCGCGTGGCCAGCGCGCAGGAAGTGATGTCAGCTTCACAGCCACCTCACACTGCACCCAAATATTTTTTTCCCTGAGTTCGCTGGTCGGGGGACTCACTTGTTGACGCTAACGGTGACTCCAGTGCAGCTTTCACACTCTTGTGCTCCTGTAATAAGGTTACACTTTGTTGCTGGGTAAAGCCCTCGTTCTGAAACAACCAGGAAAGAACAGGTGTCACCAGACGCTACCCTGGGGTCTAGACCCCCCCCTCCCCCCCCCTCGCTGTGCACCCCATCACTACACCCCATCCTGACACTTGTATTTTTATCAGCACCTGTCAATGGCGCTGACAGTCACGACAAACCAATTACTGGACATCAACCAAAACACTGGGGAAACACCCTCTCTTTCCAATAGCGCCGCGGGATCTCACAGCTGCACACTGTGCAGGAAGTGATGTCAGCTTGACAGCCACTCCCCACTGCGCCAATATACACCCACCTGAAGGGCGGGCAGACGGGACCCTCGGGTCTAATGTCTCATCTGGAGGACGGCATCTGCTCTGACAATGCAACGCTCCTTCTGCACCTCCTCCGCCCTAAGCACCCCACCATCAACCCCAAAATCCCCCACCCCACCTCCCTGCACCCCACCATCAACTCCCAAACCCCCACCCCACCTCCCCCATTCCCAGCACCAACCCCAAAACCCCAAACCAGGGTTGGGTTCTGGTCAGCCTAAACTTTGAGCTCCGAGTGCCCAGCGCGGTGTGTGAGCACCAGCCACTAAGCCAGGACGAGTGTGTGGGAAACCGCTCACCATCAGCCTGAGAATGCGAACGTTGAACAGCTCATTAATGGCGTCCTGGCAGCCTTTGTCCAGCTGTAACACAACCTCAAAAGCCATCTCTGCCTCCAGGTACCTCTGCGGGGAAAGGATTCCACGTTTATCTTCTGCTGTGTTTCAGCTCCTTCCCCCTGCGCCACCAACCCAAGCACCAACCTCCAACCCTCCCCACCCCCAGTGCACGCCAGGCAAACATCTTCCCTGCCCCGCGTGCCCGCCAGGCAAATGTCTCCCCCGCTCCCTCCAGGAAACTCCAAATTTCTCCTCTTGCACTTCATCTTTGTGGCTCGTTATTTATGTGCACAACTCAATGTGTTAATATCAACCAACTGCGGGGTGGGAGGAGGGGAGCAGCAGCGAAGACATGCACACCAACACCCCAACACACCTAAGACCTCACTGCTCTGTGGAAAGATACCCACCCACCCACCCTCCCTTCCCCCAAACTTGGTGCCTCAGTTCCTGGAAATCTGTACTTTCTGTTGAACCTTGGAATTGTCACATACCCAGAGACTGGACTTTTAGATCTAAGAAGAGTTATTCTAATAAAAATATTTATTGTGTTTAACAAAGCACCTAAAGTCAAAATATCTAGAGTCTCTCTGGCTCCCTCCCTCTCTCCCCACCTCCCTGCCTCCCCCCCTCTCTCCCAGATCTGTCTCAAGACAGTAGAACCATGGAACTATTGAAATTTGCAGCACAGGAGGAGCCCATTTGGCCCACGGTGTCTGTGCTGGTTCATTTAAAGAGTGATCCTTTCAGTCCCACTTACGTGTCCTTGCCTCTCAAGAAATCTCCTCCTCCCTCCCTCCCCCTGGCTCGCCATCATCTCCGACACTGTCAAGCGCTCTGGAACCTGCCCGGCGTGAGGGCCTCAATATAAATGCAAGTTGTTCTTGTAATCACGTCGTTGAGATGTCTCAAAGCGCTTCCCAGGATCTACTGTAAAGTGTAGTGACTGTGTGTATTGTGAACCTCTCACCTTGATTCCCAGCAGAGCACGTCCCTTCCTGAAGTAGCCCTTCGGCCACTTGGAGTCCAGCCTGATGGAGGTTTCAGCATCTTCTAGTGCAAGACTGTATTTTCCCAGCCGATCGTAGCAGTAAGACCTGTTCCCAAAATACCTGCCAGGAAGGAGAGGAACAAAAGCGATTTCAGTCCGGCTCGGAGGTTAATTCACCAGCACCAGAGGTAGAATGAGACATTAAACCGAGTCCCTGTCTGCCTGTTCATGCGGGTGTTAAATATCTCATGGGCGGGTGATAAATATCTCATGGCACAAGAAGAGAGAAAGGAGTTTCTCTCTCCCAGTGTCCTGACCAAACCCCCCCCCCTCCCACCACCCAGATAAAACTGGTCATCCACACTTCATGGCTGTTTGCAGGGAAATGCTGTGGGCAATTTGGCTGTCTTGTATATCCTATGAAGTGTATTGACAGGGTCTTTCGGACACAGAAGGCACTGTATCAAACACGACAAACTCAGTTTAACATCTCATCTGAAAGCCGGCACCTCCAACAATACAGCGCAACCTCTGGTAGGCGCATTGGTGTGGTCGCCTGGACTGTCAGCTCAAGTCAGGCGCTTACTGCTACCACTACTAAAAAATAATATTAATAATCCTTACATTTGATACAGCGCCTTATCGGGTCGTTAAGACGACCTCAAAGTGCTTTACAGAATATATTGTGAGGTGCAGTGACTATGTATTTGTAGACAAAAGCGGGAGCACAATTTGCACACAGCCATGGAGTGAGTGACCAATTTTATCATGGGGATTGTTGGCCAGGACACCGGGAGAGAGAAACTCCCTGCTCTTTTCTAAAAGTGCCATGGGATCTTGAACAGGCAGACGGGACCTGTTTAACATCTCATCCGAAGGACAGCACCTCCGACAATGCAACACCCCAGAACTGTATTGGAGCGTCACCTTAGACTAACAATAACAAAATACACTTGTATAGTGTGTCCACACCGGAAAAATGTCCCAGGGTATTTTGGACCCGAGCTGGGAGATGGGGGTCAGGAGGGATGGAGGGCAGGGGACTGGAGCTGGGAGGGCAGCCAAAGGCTAAGTGATTCCAAGTCCTGACGTGGGACTTAAATGTAATTTGTTGTTGTTGAACCCACAAGCTTCTGACTCAGAGGTGAGAGTGCTACCAGTGAGTCACGCTGACACATTCAACAACCTTCTAATCCAGGAGCGAGAGCTCAATTCACTGAGCCAAGTGGGGTACAAAGTCCAGCAACAGCTCAGCCTGAATATGAAATGAAACCATGACTCAGCTCTAAAATTGGTTCAGTTTATCACAGGATAATAATCCTAGCATTTGATATCGGGCCTTATCACGTCTTCTAGATGTCTCAAAGTGCTTCACAGAATAAACTGTAAAGTGAATTGACTGTATATTTAGGAGTGAAACGTGGAAGCCAATCGTGCACAGCAGCGTCTCCCACAAACAGCTGTGGATTGAGTGACCAAATTTTTTTGTATATAAGGATTATTATCCCCGGAAAAGCGATCCTCCAATTGACTAACAACTGGGTTCGTATTTACTGCTAGGCAAAGAGAGGAGCGTGGAGTAAGGAAACTTGCCCAACATTTCGCTCTGCTGGGAATCGAACCCAGGTCCCGCGCTTGCGAGGCGAGTGCTCCAACCACTGAGCTGCAGGACTCGGGATAAACAGAACGGATGGGAAACCCTGCCCCCTGGCGGCGGAAGCACAACAGGAGACCGAGAGCGAGCTCTTTAAACGGAATGCAATCGTTTTGCTGTGATTGTCGATGGTTGTTTTACTCGTGTTGGTTGTGTAAGCTTGGCGGGCTGCAGCCTGCAATCGCAATAATCATCCGTGCCTCTGATACAGCCCGTTATCACGGCGTTGAGACGTTTCAGAGCGCTTCACGGGATATATTGTAAAGCGAATTGACTGTACATTTTGTGGGTGGAACACGGCAGCCAATTGCGCACAGCAGCGTCCCACAAACAGTCATGGATTGAGTGACCAATTTTTTTTGGAGGGATTATTACCCCCCGGAAAGGGATCCACCATCGACTAACAACCGGGTTCCTACTTACTGTTGGGTAAACTAAAGCGTGTGGAGTAAGGAAAATTGCCTGGGGTTTCGCACTGCCCGGGAATCGAACCTCGGTCCTCTCGTTTGTGAGGCAAGGGCTCTAACCACTGAGCTACAGGACCCCACTTACCTGTGATCGTTGGGATCAAACTGTACAGCTGCTGTGAATAACTCCACGGCTTTTGAGTAGTATCCTTGTTTAGCCAGGTCAATGCCTTGCTCTGCAAAGGGAAGTCACAGGAAATATTCACACACGCATTCTCTGTCGGGAAGAATCCTGCTGCGCCTTGTAATAATAATAATAATAATAATATCATAATCTTCGCATTTGGTATTGTACCTTTCATGTCAGGAAAGACTGTCCCAAAGCGCTTCATAAGATTTATATAGTAAAATGGTGTTTCATTGGAACTGTGTGTTTTATGTGGCTGTCAATTTGCCCACAGCAATATCCCCCACACACACACACAGCCATAGAGTAAGTGTCAACCTGGCTCAGTGGTAACATTATTGGCTCTGAGTCAGAAGGTTGTGGGTTCAAGCCCCCATGTCAGGATTTGGAATCATAAGGTCTAAGCTCACGATCCAATTCAGTGCTGGATTCACAGAGGTACAGTTCAAGTCCTGGTCCTCATCTTCAAAGCCCTCCATGGTCTTGCTCCCCCTACCTCTCCAACCTCCTAACCCCATACCAACCTGTTCGCTCCCTCCGCTCAGCGGGATCGGCCTGCTTCACGTCCCCCCGCCTTGCTCGCCTCACTATCAGCAGACGGGCCTTCCGCCATTCTGCCCCCGCCCTCTGGAACTCCATCCCGCAGTTCCTCCGTCTCACCCCTCCCTCGCCACCTTCAAGACCCACCTCAAGAAACCTCCTCTTTGACCGTGCTTTCGATCTCCCTGCTTCCCCACCTGCCCTCCCCCTTCCTCCATCCTGACCCTCAGCTCAGGTCCGTAACTCCAGTGCCTTGGGATGTCCTCCCGATGTGATTTTGTTGTTGTTGTTGTTGCATTGTCGGAGATGCCGTCTTTCAGATGAGATGTTAAACCGAGGTCCCGTCTCCCTGTTCAGGTGGACGTTAAAGATCCTTGGACTATTCGAAAAGAGAAGGGAGTTTCTCTCTCCCAACAATCCCCCAAATAAAATGGGTCACTCACTCCATGGCTGTTCGTGGGACAGCTTCACCCACAAAATACATATTTACTTTACAGTATATTCTGTGAAGCGCTTTGAGGCGTCTCGATGATGTGATAAGACGCTATATCAAATGCAACGATTACCATTATGACCAATAATGATTTGAGGGATAGTTGTCCAAATTAGGTCTTCTTTAGGTCAAAGATTTAAATGGCAAATAATAATAACAAGAGAGGATATGATAGTCAGAGAGAACCGCAATTTAACCGAGTGATCACCTACCAGCCAATTCCCTGCTCCTCAGCACCGAAGGGTCCAGCCCCTCCTGGCAAAAACATCAGAGAGACATGGCTCAGAGAGACAACAACAACACATTATATTTGCACAGTGCGTTGCACTTCGGGAGGCCATCCCAAGGCCCTGGACATTCAGGGATTTGCCCCAAGCTGGGCGTTGGGATCAGGAGAGGTAGAGGGTGGGGATGGTAGGGATAGGAGGGTGACTGAAGATGTGGCTGAAGATGAGGGTCTTGATACGTTGATGTGCCTTGAAAGAAACGAGGGAGGGGACGAGACAAAGCGAATGTGGGATGGAGAGAGGCTGAAGGCCTGACTGCTGATGGTGGGTTGGGCCGGGAGACATGGAACAGGCCGGAGCCCGCTGAGCGGAGGGAGCGGACAGGTCAGTTCTGAGGTAGCAGGTCAGCTTTGGCTTCGGATGTTAGGGCTTTGGCTGCGGCGTTAACAGGAGCTGAGTGGGAGGATTCCGGGTCCTGCCGATGAGCGAGGCTGGACTGTGCTGTCATCAGCAGTGAGTGCCCTGGGATTCTGCAGACACCTGGCTCAGGAACCAAACTAGAGACTATCATGGGTAGGAGGGGGGGCGGGGGGCTCAATTCCGATATTCTGTTGGCAAACATGTCACCTTGGAAGTAAGTGAGTGGGAGGTGTGGTAGGGGAGGGAGGTTTTGACAGAGGTGAGGGAGGTGGGGAGCGTGAGGCGGAGGTTTATGGAGAGAGCTCCAGAGACTATAAGAGACTATACTAGATCCATTCACATTTTCAAGCCTGAGGTGGTTAGATGTTTGTTAGGTCAGGGTGTGAACCGATATGGGGTAAAGGCAGGTGATTGGAGTTGAGGTACAGATCAGCCATGAAGTTATAAAAATGGTGAAACTGGCTCGAGGGGCTAAATGACCTCCTGTGGTGACTTCCTATAGCGACTGAGAGGGAAGGGCCTTGAGACGTTCAGCCACGACTCTCACCTCCTGGCTTTTGCCCTCGTTCTCCTTGTTCTCCTTTGACCTGCGGCCTGGCCTGAGTTTAACCTTGGCTTTGATGTGACTGGCAGCATTGGTGACAAAAGCACTGGTTACATCCCATTCAGGCTCCTGTAACAGAGTCAGAACCGTTCACAGGTTACTATGAAAGCATGCTCTCTCTCTCTTGCCCCATGTTTGTCTCCCTCGATCTCTCTCTACACCCCTTCAAGTCTCTTCCCTTTGAACAACAACAACAAATTGTATTTACACAGCGCCTTTCACATTGGGAGAACGTCCCAAGGTTCTGGACATTCAAGAGTTTGCACCCGATCTGGGTGTTGGGATGAGGGATGGAAGGCAACGGGCGGAAAGGTGACCTAAGGCGCGGTCGAAGAGGAGAGTTGTGAGACGGTCCTTGAACGAGGCAAAGGAGAGAGCGATGCAGAGAAGCTGCGGGGTGGACTCCCAGAGGGAGTGGGCAGAGAGGCAGAGAAGGCCCGATCGCCAATGGTGGAGCAGCAAGGCACGGAACGAGGAGCAGGCCACTGGCTGCTGAGCGGAGGGAGCGGACAGATTGGCAGGGTTTTAGGAGGTCACAGAGGTAGGGAGGAACAAGTCCATGGAGGCGTCTCTGTCACCACTCACTTCTCAATATTCACAGCACGACATACCTCACACAGGTAAAGAGAGTTTTTGTGTGTGAGGCTCCGAGAAAGTGTTAGTATGTGCTCGTGTGTGCGCGTGTGTGTTTGTTCGTGGGTACCAAGTAGAAGTGTGGGAGAGAAGACTGAGTGGAGTGTATGTGGGACTGGGTAAGAGTGCGAGAGGAGAGGGTGGGGTCGACAGTAGGTGTGCACGTGCTAGTGCAAAAGGAAGCACGAGCACGTGCAAAAAGAGCACGCTTCAAGAAAACGTATAGAGTATGTGCGTGTGCGTGCTCGTGTTCTGAGTGTGTAAAGGTCACTACGTCTGTCGGGTTCATCGATTTTTTTTGCCCCCCCTTTGAAAATGACACCTTCATCAGAGGTGAAGTGGGGTCTGGCCCCCACTGGGCCCCCGGGTGGTTACCTCGTCGCTTGAGGAAGAGCGGCCCAGGTGCGGGTTGGCCGAGGAGCCGAAGGGCTGTGCAACGGTGTCGCTCTGCCCGTTTGTGTCCTCTGTGGTGTCCAGGGGCTTCGAACTCAATTCCATCTCCTCCTCGCTCTCGCTTTCCTCATCGTCCTGCAGCGAATACATAAATCACAGTAAAACTGGCACAAGTCCACCAACAAGTTACATTTGTATAGCGCCCTTCGCACGGGAGAGCGTCCCAGAGCACTGATATTCTGTGCTGTGCAGGAGTCCTGTAGCTCACTGGTTAGAGCGCTCGCCTTGCAAGCAAGAGACCTGGGTTCGATTCCCGGCAGGTCAGGGTGAAACCCTGGGCAAGCTTCCTTACGCCACACGCCTGATAATAATCCCTCAAGAAAAAAAAAGCAGTAAAATTGATCACTTCAATCCACGACTGTTTGTGCGATGCTGCTGTGCGCAATTGGCTGCCGCATTTCGCCCACAAATACACAGTCAAGTCACTTTACAGTATATTCTTTGAAGTGCTTTGCGACGTCTAGAAGACGTAATAAGACGCTATATCAAATGCAAGGATTATTATTATTATTTTCATCAATGAGATCATCGCCTACGTCGAACATTCACCCGAGTCCCATTCATCCTATCAAAAAACACTTGAGATTTCTTTGCACAACTCGTATTAATCACCTCCTAACTCCTAACGCCACTACCCTCCCTTCCCTTACTCTCGCACTGACCAGCTGCATTGAATAGTGGGAAATGACGTCCTGATCCGTCAAGGCACAGAAGGACTTTATTTCCCGCGATTCAAACGCTTTCCAGTAAATATGCACATGGTGAAGGATCAACACTAGTACGGACAGACTTCACTCACCTGCTCGTTCTCTTCATTCCCTTTCCCTTTCTCTAACTTTCTTCTTTCTCTCTGTCGCTGAAAAAGGATAATTCACACGTTCATTTCTTCCAGTGGCAGAAACGGGTCAAGTAATAAACAGCACAAAACAGCACAAGGTGTCAGCCTGGCTCAGTCGGTAGCACTCTCCTCAGAGGCAGACGGTTGTGGGTTCACACCCCACATTGGGGTGTTGAGCTCATAATCCAGGCTGATGCTCCAGTACAACAAAGGGTGAGGGGGTCGGGCAAATTGTCGGAGGTGCCGTCCTTTGGATGAGACGTTAAACCGAGGTCCCGTCTGCCTGTTCAGGTGGACGTTAAAGATCCCACTGTGCTATTCCAAAAGGAAAGGGAGTTTCTCTCTCCTCATGTCGTGTCCTGGCTGATAAATCCCCAAATAAAATGGTTGTTTACTTCAACTGTTTAAAAGACAAAAGTGAAAAAACCTTTTTCTTCGCCCGGCGTCTGTCGGCTTTCCTCTTCGCCCGCTCGTTATCTGTTACACTCTCCGTCAGCCCTATTACAGCATCCTGCAGTAAAATATACCCCGCATTAGGTTATACACAAAAACAAATACACGTGCACATACACAGATACTTACATACTGCATAAACATACACATACATAAACACACACACAAACATGCATACATAACAATAATAATCCTTGCATTTGATATAACACCTCATCACGTCTTCAGTACATCTCAAAGCGCTTCACAGTAAAGTGAATTGACTGTATATTTTGTGGGTGAAACGCGGCAGCCAATTGCACACAGGAGTGTCCCATAAACAGCCGCGGATTGAAGTGACCAATTTATTTATAATTTTTTTTTGATGGAATTATTACCCCCCCGGAAAAGCGATCCGCCAATCGAGTAACAACCAGGTTCCTACTTACTGCTGGTAAACAGAGGTGCGTGTGTAGAGTAAGGAAACTTGCCCAACATTTCACCCTGCCGGAAATCAAACCTCGGTCTCTCGCTTGCGAGGCGAGTGCTCTAACCACCAAACACACATAAACCTACATAAACACATACACAAACATACTATGCTACGGGTCTCCAAGGGATCTGGTCCTTTGAAGGATGAGTCAAGGGATGAGAGCGCTAGTAATTGAGCCAGGTTGGCAAGTGGTTACTTGCCAGAGTACAACCCAGTATCAACTCCCCCGTGGCGAGCAGCTCACACACAGTCAGTGAGGGATCCACACGAGCATCAGTTATGGGCAGGTACGTCACTCCGGCCGTATCTACACTAACCTTTAAAGAGGAGAGTTTGATTTGATCCGTGACGCCGTTCATCTGAGGCGCTCCATCGCAATCCATCTCCTGGGCCGCTCTCTTCTCAAACGTATCTGGACCGTGAAGAGGTCAGAAATGAGTCAAGTGTCAATTGCTATTACAGTTCGCATTGTCACAGCATCTTTCACACCGGGAGATCGTCTCTAAGTGCATTCACAGCACCTGAGCTCTGGGGGGTGTGGGGGAGAGTTGTGGAAAGTTGACTGAAAGTGCTGTCAAAGAGGTATCTTCAGCTTCCCCCCACCCCAGCTCTCCGACCTCCTAACCCCATATCAGCCTGTCCGCTCCCTCCACTCAGCGGACACTGGTCTGCTCCAGGTCTCCCACACTTCCCACCCCACCATTGGCGGTCAGCCATTCAGCATCTCTACCCCCACCCTCTGGAACTCCATCCAGGAGCCCCTCCGCCTCGCCCACTCACTTGCTTCCTATGAGGCCCGTCTCAAGACCTTCCTTTTCGATCATGCCTTTGGTCATCTTCCCTCCTCCACCCCACTCGCCCTCCACCCCTCTCTTATCCCAACCCACACCGGGTGCAAACCCCTCATTGTCCAGCACCTTGGGACACTCTCCCGAAGTGTCCAAACAGAGACAGATTCTATTCTTGATAAGTCTTTCACTGTTTGTCAGCAGAACATCAAAACATAAATGACACAACAACAACAACTTGCATTTACACAGCGCCCTTCAGGAGGGCAGCATGTCAGAGCCTCAACAGTGGCGGAAGCTGATACCAAGTCGGGGAGAGGGAGCCTGAGCCAAGTGACCGAAAGCACTCGGTTAAAGAAGAAGGTCTTCAAGAAGGTGATCTAAAAGAGAGGAAAGGAGGGGGCAGGGCAGAGGGATTGAGGGAGACAGTTCCAAAGTTTTGGGGCTGTAAGTGCGACCACCGATGGTGAAGCGGATGGGACAAGGAGGAGCAGGGATAGCAATGCATTTGCCGGTCACTACACTTTACTCTAATAACTTGAAGCACTTTGAGATGCTTCAACATAAAAATGTAAATGCAATAAAAATACAAGCTGCTTCTGGGTCTCCCTTTCCCTCCGCTGGAACCCTATAATAATAATGCATTGATACAGCCGCTAATCACTTCTTCAAAGCGCTTCACAGAATATATTGTAAAGTGGATTGACTGTATATTTTGTGGGTGAAACACGGCAGCCAATTGTGCACAGCAGCGTTCCACAAACAGTCGTGGATTGAGTGACTAGGGTGACAGAGAGGATGACAGAGGGGTGAAGGGGGTGACAGAGGGTGTGACAGCGGGGGGGGGGGTAACAGAGGGGAGGACGGAAGAGGTAGTTTAACTCTACCTATGCTATGACTCCCGCACTCATTCCTGACTGAGCTAATGAATGCAGCCACAAACGCTCTTACCAGGAGTCTACAATATATGTCTACGCTTCTCTATTCAAACAGAGTTCACTTACAGCGTCAAGCGAGAGATACAGAAGCAGCGCAACCCAGGACACACAGCGCAGCCGGGAGTGGTGACACACTTGCCAGCCACGCACATTATTAAGAAATGGTGCAATCTTGATCCAATTGTTAAAGCCCTGTGATAATAATCCCTGTAATAACAGTTTCATGGAAAATTCCTGTCAAGAGTGACTGTGTGCAGCCAATTTGCAGGTAGATGATATAGTGAATGACCTGGGGGAGAGTTGTGGAAAGTTGACTGAAAGTGCTGTCAAAGAGGTATCTTCAGCTTCCCCCCACCCCAGCTCTCCGACCTCCTAACCGCATATCAGCCTGTCCGCTCCCTTAGAGGTATCCGGGGGATTATTGGCCAGGACATCCGAGAGAGAGAGAAACTCCCTTCTCTTTTTCAATAACATCCACCTGAACAGACAGGTGTCAGGATTCCAGTTTAAAGTCTCATCGGAAAGACGGCACCTCCGACGTCACAGTGCTCCCCACTCGACGGCAGCCTAGACTGCAGAGGAGTCCTGTGGCGTATAGTTAGCACACTCGCCTCGCAAGTCAGAGGATCTGGGCTCGATTCCCGGGTGGGGCGAAATCTTAGGCAAGTTTCCTTGCCTCTGCTTACCTAGCAGTAAGTTGGAACCCAGTTGTTAAGTCAACTGGTGAATCACTTTCCGGGGTAATAATCCCTCCAAAACAGATAATAAATTGGTCACCGAATCACGACTGTTTGTGGGACGCTGCTGTGGTTATTGGCTGTGTTTCACCCACAAAATATACAGTCAATTCACTCTACAGTAAATTCTGTGAAGTGCTTTGAGTTGTCTCAACAGTGTGATAAGGCACTGTATCAAATGCAAGGATTATTACTATTAAAGCTCCCGACGTGGGGTTTGAACCCACAACTTTCTGCCTTAGAGGTAAACACACTGATTGTCCAAAATCCAAAAGCCTGGACCAGCGTGTTATTCACTGAATTACCCCTCACTATGGGACTGAAACAGACCAGGCCAGGTTTGTGCCTCTGTCAATGGACCAGGGCTTTGTGAACCCAGTGCCTTGTTTATTTTGCTGATAAGTGTACAGTAGCAGACAACTGGCTTGTTGGCAGAGCAAAACCCTCTCTGCATACTTGGGTTCATTCCACATTCTTGTTCTCATCCAGACATCAATCTCCAAATATCCGAGCAGCAAACTCCAGTTTGTTTTTCCCCGCCGGGTGTCTGACACACACGGAAACCCATCACCGTTGCTCAAGAGTCTCCAAACCAAACTGAGAATGCCACACATCCCTCCACCACATGGAAATCCCAGAGAGAGATTGTGGGGATGCGCTCTCTCTCTCTCTCTCTCTCTCCCTGGAGAGTGTTCAAGAGTACCAGGGCGTAGTGACTGAAAGCGCCTACTAACTACTGATCAATACCCACCCTCCCGCCCGCCTTTCCAGTGCTTGTTTGGTTCATTCGCTGCCTGAGTTACTTCAAAGGGAGCAGAGTTTGCAAATTGATATGGGGTCAAACAGTTAAAGGTGACGTCAGTCAGTCCTGGAGGTATGCAGAGTCTTGTGACTGAGCCAGTGGTTCACGGTGAGAATGCACTATTACTGTATACAGCAGGTGATCGGATATCCACATTCCAGCCCTCACTATGCTTGACACTGGCGCCTGTATTCAGCAAAACATTTTCCAAAACGCTGCACGGCTAATTGCGGGCGGGGAGAAACATTAGCAAGTTTCCTTACTCCTCACGCCTGTTTACCTAGCAGTCGGTAGGGACCTGGATATTAGTCGATTGACAGACCGCTTTTATGGGAATAATAATAATCCCTCCAAAAAAAATTGGTGACTCAACCCACGACTGTTTGGGGGACGCTGCTGTGCGCAATTTCCCCCACAAAATACACAGTCAATCTACTTTACAATATATTCTGTGAAGCCTTTGAGATGTCTCAACATAAGACGATATATCAAATGTAACGATTATTATTATAATAACTACAGGAAATTCCCTTCCCCCCACTTCTCTCTCTGCACCCCCCCCCCCCACCACACATACAACTGAACTCATGAATCTGGCCAGACTGCTCACAGTCTACATTTCAAGGTAACTACAGCTTTAATCTGTTCCCACTGACAGACAAAAGCACCACAGACACTAGTCAAATTGTTCTGCCATTTCACACACTGTAATGATCACAAGGACGTGTTGATACTGCAGCAATTACAAGCGTTTCGACTAAAACTAACTTACTGTCTCAGCGATAGTAACTAAATAAACTTCTCAACTGAAACTCAGGTCATCGCTTGGGGGTTAGTTATCTGACGGGTGTTTCTTTCAGCAAAAAGTGATCTGTATCGCAGTTGTGTGGCAGCCTGGCACTATTCGGAAAGAGAAGCGAGTTTCTCTCTCTCTGTGGCCACAATTCCTCCCAAATAAATCGATCGCTCTCTCCATGGCTGTTTGTGGGACATTGCTGTGCATGCAACTGGCTGCTGTGCTTCACCCCCAAAAATGCACAGTCACTCCACTTTATCCTATGAAGCGCTTGGAGACGTCACAGCGACATGATAAGGCGCTGTATCAAATGCAGGGAGTATTATTATTATCCCTACAAGATTCCTATCCTTCACCATTCCCATCCACCAAGAACTTGTATTCTCCTCTCCTCACCGTTGGCGCTGTCGAGTTGTAAAACTCACCTTAAATAACACGTTAAGGAGGGGGAAGAAAAGGAGGAAGGGTAAAGTACATTAAAAGACATTTAAATACCTGGTTCAAACCCACCTTCCACCAGCAAATGTGTGAACGCGTTTGGGAACCATACCAAACCGGGTCGAGGTGAGGAGCCGTCACCCTTCTCTGCTGGAATTGGCGACACGTTTCTGTGTCAAATTGTCGGCCGTTAGTTAACATGTAACATCAATCGAAGCGCAAGGCTGAATTGATCAAAACGATAACGCTAAATTCATCAAAAGGCAACAGGAAAATTCATTAAAACGTAACAAACTCTAAATTAATCAAAATGGAAATACTGTCAGAACAAAATACGCAGTCACTCCACTTTACAGTATCTTCGGTGAAGCGCTTTGAGACGTCTTAACGATGTGATAACAATCGCCATAAAAATTGCAAGGATTATTATTAACATTATTCATCGTGTCAAAACATCGCAGAGGAAAATGTCTCAGCTAATTTGTGGCAGTAATAACATGAATGAACTATAGAGTATGTGTGTGTGTGTTTGTGGGGTGGGGGGGGGTGGTCTGGAGGAAGGGGGGAATTAGAATCAATAATAATAATTCTTGCATTTGATATAACCCCTTATCATGTTGTTGAGACGTCTCAAAACTCTTCACGGAATTTACTGTAAAGTGTAGTGACTGTGTACTTTGGGGGCTAAACATGGCAGCCAATTGCTCACAGCCGTATCCCACTAACAGTCATGGAGTCAGTGGCCAATTTTATTTGGGGGATTTATTGACCAGGAGAAAGAAACTCCCTTCTGTTTTGAAATAGCATCACACATCCACCTGACAATGTGCAACCACAACCCTCAGTGGAGATGCCGATTTAGCGTCTCATCGGGAGGGGCGGGGGGTGGGCGGGGGGGGCACAGGTGCCCTCCGACAACGCAACACACCCCCAGCACTGCATTGCAGTGTGAGCTTAGACTGTGTGTGTGATTCCAAGTCCTGATGTGGGACCCAAACCCACAACCTTCTGACTCAGAGGCAATAGCTACCACTGAGCCAGACTGACACAGACTGAAAGAAAGTGTGTCAGGGCTTCGGGATCAGATGGTAACTAGTCTAACCTGCTAAACCCACAGAGCTTGGCATCGATATCGATACCGTCTGGCAAGCTTTCCCGCTGCTTGTTCTGCCAGGACCACCCTACCCTTTAGGGCTTTGGCTTACAGGGTTCACAGGAGCTGAGCGGGAGGATTCCCGGCCCCCAGTGATAGTTGAGTTGGTCATTCATCTCTTGGCTGTTTTGTGGGGCATTGCTGTGTTACAACGTTGGCGGCTGAGGTTTGCCCATAAAATACACAGTCACTACACTTGACACAACATGTTCCAACTGATACAACTTATGTGAGGTTTACTGTATATTCAAAGCAAACAAAAATTACATTATGTAAAAGCTCGCACACAGACCCACACACAAACACACACACATACAAACACAGACACACATATAAACACAGACCCACACACAAACACACACACATATAAACACAGACCCACACACAAACACAGACACACAAACACAGACACACATACAAACACAGACCCACACACAAACACAGACCCACACACACAAACACAGACCCACACACAAACACAGACCCACACACACAGACACACACATAAACACAGACCCACACACACAATCACAGACCCACACACAAACACAGACACACATACAAACACAGACACACACAAACACAGACACACACAAACACAGACACACATACAAACACAGACACACACAAACACAGACACACACACAAACACAGACCCACACACAAACAGACACGCATACACAAACACAGACACACATACAAACACAGACCCACACACAAACACACATACAAACACAGACCCACACGCACAAACACAGACACACATACAAACACAGACCCACACACACAAACACAGACACACATACAAACACAGACGCACACACACACGCAGACACGCACAGGTGCATACAAATACAAACACAGACACACACAGGTGCACGCACACACAAACTCAGACACACAGGTCCACACACACAAACACAGACTCACACAGGTACACCCACACACAAACACAGACACACACAGGTACACCCACATACAAACACACACACACTCAAAAACACACACAGGCGCACACACGCAGACACACACGGTGAAATTATGGAGGATATGTCAAAACCGGCTGATGGTCACTCACAACACACATCAACGTCCAACTAAGGAGTGTAACTCAGAAGTGGATCAGTGATGTCAGGATACAAAGCCTCACCTCACCCACAGCAATGACACCCCCCCTCACCGTCCCCCTACCCCCTCGCACCTCAGCCCCTCGCACCCTCCCTCTGTGCTCTCACCCCCACCCAACCCACTGCCACCCCCTTCCCTCACCCCAGGGAGAGAGAGAGCCACCTCGGTGATCTCTGTGTCCGGTCTGCCCGCCCTCCCTCTCCCCCTGTGATGGCCTATACCCTGTGTCTCTGTGCGCTGAGCTGGAATTCGCTTGGCCTGTTCTCTCTCTGTACTATATCCCGTGTGTGTGTCTCTCTGTCTCGCTCTCTCTCTTTGGGCTGTGCCCTGTCTCTCTCTCTGGACTGTGCCCTGTCTCTCACTCTGGGCTGTGCCCTGTCTCTCTCTCTCTGGGCTGTGCCCTGTCTCTCTCTCTGGGCTGTGCCCTGTCTCTCTCTCTCTGGACTGTGCCCTGTCTCTCTCTCTCTGGGCTGTGCCCTGTCTCTCACTCTGGGCTGTGCCCTGTCTCTCTCTCTCTGGGCTGTGCCCTGTCTCTCTCTCTGGGCTGTGCCCTGTCTCTCTCTCTCTGGACTGTGCCCTGTCTCTCTCTCTGGGCTGTGCCCTGTCTCTCGCTCTGGGCTGTGCCCTGTCTCTCACTCTGGGCTGTGCCCTGTCTCTCACTCTGGGCTGTGCCCTGTCTCTCTCTCTGGGCTGTGCCCTGTCTCTCTCTCTGGGCTGTGCCCTGTCTCTCGCTCTGGGCTGTGCCCTGTCTCTCACTCTGGGCTGTGCCCTGTCTCTCACTCTGGGCTGTGCCCTGTCTCTCTCTCTCTGGGCTGTGCCCTGTCTCTCTCTCTCTGGACTGTGCCCTGTCTCTCTCTCTGGGCTGTGCCCTGTCTCTCTCTCTGGACTGTGCCCTGTCTCTCTCTCTGGGCTGTGCCCTGTCTCTCGCTCTGGGCTGTGCCCTGTCTCTCACTCTGGGCTGTGCCCTGTCTCTCTCTCTGGGCTGTGCCCTGTCTCTCTCTCTGGACTGTGCCCTGTCTCTCACTCTGGGCTGTGCCCTGTCTCTCTCTCTGGGCTGTGCCCTGTCTCTCTCTCTGGACTGTGCCCTGTCTCTCACTCTGGGCTGTGCCCTGTCTCTCTCTCTCTGGGCTGTGCCCTGTCTCTCTCTCTCTCTGGGTTGTGCCCTGTCTGTCTCTCTCTCTCTGGGCTGTGCCCTGTCTCTCACTCTGGGCTGTGCCCTGTCTCTCACTCTGGGCTGTGCCCTGTCTCTCACTCTGGACTGTGCCCTGTCTCTCTCTGGACTGTGCCCTGTCTGTCTCTCTCTCTCTCTGGGCTGTGCCCTGTCTCTCTCTCTCTCTGGGCTGTGCCCTGTCTCTCTCTCTCTCTCTGGGCTGTGTCTCTCTCTCTCTCTGAGCTGTGCCTGTCTCTCTCTCTCTCTGGATTGTGCCCTGTCTCTCGCTCTGGGCTGTGCCCTGTCTGTCTCTCTCTCTCTCTGGGCTGTGCCCTGTCTCTCTCTCTCTCTGGGCTGTGTCCTGTCTCTCTCTCTCTCTGGGTTGTGCCCTGTCTCTCGCTCTGGACTGTGCCCTGTCTCTCTCTCTCTCTGGACTGTGCCCTGTGTGTCTCTCTCTCTGGGCTGTGCCCTGTCTGTCTCTCTCTCTGGGTTGTGCCCTGTCTCTCTCTCTGGGCTATGCCCTCTCTCTCTGTCTGGACTGTGCCCTGTCTCTCGCTCTGGACTGTGCCCTGTCTCTCGCTCTGGACTGTGCCCTGTCTCTCTCTCTCTCTGGGCTGTGCCCTGTCTGTCTCTCTCTCTCTGGGCTGTGCCCTGTCTCTCTCTCTCTCTGGGTTGTGCCCTGTCTCTCTCTCTGGGCTGTGCCCTCTCTCTCTGTCTGGACTGTGCCCTGTCTCTCGCTCTGGACTGTGCCCTGTCTCTCGCTCTGGGCTGTGCCCTGTCTCTCGCTCTGGGCTGTGCCCTGTCTCTCTCTCTCTCTGGGCTGTGCCCTGTGTGTCTCTCTCTCTGGGCTGTGCCCTGTCTCTCGCTCTGGGCTGTGCCCTGTCTCTCGCTCTGGGCTGTGCCCTGTCTCTCTCTCTCTCTGGGCTGTGCCCTGTGTGTCTCTCGCTCTGGGCTGTGCCCTGTCTCTCTCTCGCTCTGGGCTGTGCCCTGTCTCTCGCTCTGGGCTGTGCCCTGTCTCTCGCTCTGGGCTGTGCCCTGTGTGTCTCTCTCTCTGGGCTGTGCCCTGTGTGTCTCTCTCTGGGTTGTGCCCTGTGTGTCTCTCTCTCTGGGCTGTGCCCTGTCTCTCTCTCTCTGGGCTGTGCCCTGTTGTCTCTCTCTGTCTGGGCTGTGCCCTGTCTCTCGCTCTGGGCTGTGCCCTGTCTCTCGCTCTGGGCTGTGCCCTGTCTCTCTCTCTCTCTGGGCTGTGCCCTGTCTCTCGCTCTGGGCTGTGCCCTGTCTCTCGCTCTCTCTGGGCTGTGCCCTGTGTCTCTCTCTCTCTGGGCTGTGCCCAGTGTCTGGGCTGTGCCCGGTGTCTGGGGGCCGTGCCCGGTGTGTGGGGGCCGTACCCGGTGTGTGGGGGCCGTACCCGGTGTCTGGGCCGTGCCCGGTGTGTGTGGGGGTTGTGCCCGGTGTGTGTGGGGGTTGTGCCCGGTGTGTGTGGGGGCTGTGCCCGGTGTGTGTGGGGGCTGTGCCCGGTGTGTGTGGGGGCTGTGCCCGGTGTGTGTGGGGGCTGTGCCCGGTGTGTGGGGGCTGTGCCCGGTGTGTGTGGGGGCTGTGCCCGGTGTGTGTGGGGGCTGTGCCCGGTGTGTGTGGGGGGGCTGTGCCCGGTGTGTGTGGGGGGGCTGTGCCCGGTGTGTGTGGGGGCTGTGCCCGGTGTGTGTGGGGGGGCTGTGCCCGGTGTGTGTGTGTGGGGGCTGTGCCCGGTGTGTGTGTGTGGGGGCTGTGCCCGGTGTGTGTGTGTGGGGGCTGTGCCCGGTGTGTGGGGGCTGTGCCCGGTGTGTGGGGGCTGTGCCCGGTGTGTGTGTGTGGGGCTGTGCCCGGTGTGTGTGTGTGTGTGTGTGTGTGGGGGCTGTGCCCGGTGTGTGTGTGGGGGCTGTGCCCGGTGTGTGGGGGCTGTGCCCGGTGTGTGTGGGGGCTGTGCCCGGTGTGTGGGGGCTGTGCCCGGTGTGTGGGGGCTGTGCCCGGTGTGTGTGTGTGGGGGCTGTGCCCGGTGTGTGTGTGTGGGGGCTGTGCCCGGGTGTGTGTGTGTGTGGGGGCTGTGCCCGGTGTGTGTGTGTGGGGGCTGTGCCCGGTGTGTGTGGGGGCTGTGCCCGGTGTGTGTGTGGGGGCTGTGCCCGGTGTGTGTGTGGGGGCTGTGCCCGGTGTGTGTGTGGGGGCTGTGCCCGGTGTGTGTGTGGGGGCTGTGCCCGGTGTGTGTGTGGGGGCTGTGCCCGGTGTGTGTGTGGGGGCTGTGCCCGGTGTGTGTAGGGGCTGTGCCCGGTGTGTGTGGGGCTGTGCCCGGTGTGTGTGTGGGGGCTGTGCCCGGTGTGTGTGTGTGGGGGCTGTGCCCGGTGTGTGTGTGGGGGCTGTGCCCGGTGTGTGTGTGGGGGCTGTGCCCGGTGTGTGTGTGGGGGCTGTGCCCGGTGTGTGTGTGGGGCTGTGCCCGGTGTGTGTGGGGGCTGTGCCCGGTGTGTGTGGGGGCTGTGCCCGGTGTGTGTGTGTGTGGGGGCTGTGCCCGGTGTGTGTGTGGGGGCTGTGCCCGGTGTGTGTGGGGGCTGTGCCCGGTGTGTGTGTGGGGGCTGTGCCCGGTGTGTGTGTGGGGCTGTGCCCGGTGTGTGTGTGGGGGCTGTGCCCGGTGTGTGTGTGTGGGGGCTGTGCCCGGTGTGTGTGTGGGGGCTGTGCGGTGTGTGTGTGGGGGCTGTGCCCGGTGTGTGTGTGGGGGCTGTGCCCGGTGTGTGTGTGGGGGCTGTGCCCGGTGTGTGTGTGGGGGCTGTGCCCGGTGTGTGTGTGGGGCTGTGCCCGGTGTGTGTGGGGGCTGTGCCCGGTGTGTGTGTGGGGGCTGTGCCCGGGTGTGTGTGGGGGCTGTGCCCGGTGGTGTGTGGGGGCTGTGCCCGGTGTGTGTGGGGGCTGTGCCCGGTGTGTGTGTGGGGGCTGTGCCCGGTGTGTGTGGGGGCTGTGCCCGGTGTGTGTGTGGGGGCTGTGCCCGGTGTGTGTGGGGGCTGTGCCCGGTGTGTGTGTGGGGGCTGTGCCCGGTGTGTGTGGGGGTGTGCCGGTGTGTGTGGGGGCTGTGCCCGGTGTGGTGTGGGGGGCTGTGCCCGGTGTGTGTGTGGGGGCTGTGCCCGGTGTGTGTGGGGGCTGTGCCCGGTGTGTGTGTGTGGGGGCTGTGCCCGGTGTGTGTGTGGGGGCTGTGCCCGGTGTGTGTGTGGGGGCTGTGCCCGGTGTGTGGGGGCTGTGCCCGGTGTGTGTGGGGGCTGTGCCCGGTGTGTGTGTGTGGGGGCTGTGCCCGGTGTGTGTGTGTGGGGGCTGTGCCCGGTGTGTGTGTGTGGGGGCTGTGCCCGGTGTGTGTGTGGGGGCTGTGCCCGGTGTGTGTGGGGGCTGTGCCCGGTGTGTGTGTGGGGGCTGTGCCCGGGTGTGTGGTGTGGGGGCTGTGCCCGGGTGTGTGTGGGGCTGTGCCCGGTGTGTGTGGGGGCTGTGCCCGGTGTGTGTGTGTGGGGGCTGTGCCCGGTGTGTGTGTGTGGGGGCTGTGCCCGGTGTGTGTGTGTGTGTGGGGGCTGTGCCCGGTGTGTGTGTGGGGGCTGTGCCCGGTGTGTGTGTGGGGGCTGTGCCCGGTGTGTGTGGGGGCTGTGCCCGGTGTGTGTGGGGGCTGTGCCCGGTGTGTGTGTGTGGGGGCTGTGCCCGGTGTGTGTGTGGGGGCTGTGCCCGGTGTGTGTGTGGGGGCTGTGCCCGGTGTGTGTGTGTGGGGGCTGTGCCCGGTGTGTGTGTGTGGGGGCTGTGCCCGGTGTGTGTGTGTGGGGCTGTGCCCGGTGTGTGTGGGGGCTGTGCCCGGTGTCGGTGTGTCGGGTGGACACAGTGTATCGGTGGTGTCGGTGGACACAGTGTATTAGTGGTGTCGGTGTCGGTGGACACAGTGTATCGGTGGTGTGAGTGTCGGTGGTGTCGGTGTCGGTGCTGACCTGCGGGGACCCCCCCCGGTGGCTCGGCGCTGCTCTCCGGGCATCTCCGCCTCCCCCCGGGGCTCAGCCCCTCCCCACCCCACCCCCGGCCCCGAGCGGCTCAGCCCCGGTCCCCGGTCCCCGGTCCCGGCTCCAGGCTCTCGGCCCCTCTCCCGCCCGAGCGCCGCCGCCACCAGCGGAGGGAATGGTCACTGCACAGAGGGCGGGAGCACAGCCACAGCCACAGCCACAGCGCCGTCTGTACACCGACACCGCCGACACCGCCGTCTGTACACCGACACCACCGACACCGCCGTCTGTACACCGACACCACCGACACCGCCGTCTGTACACCGACACCACCGACACCACTGTATACCGACACCACCGACACCGCCGTCTGTACACCGACACCGCCGTCTGTACACCGACACCACCGATACCACTGTATATACATCAATGCCATCGATACCATCGATATCACTGTATATACATCGATACCATCGACATCACTGTCTATACAATAACCATCGATATCACTGTCTATACAATAACCATCGATATCACTGTCTATACAATAACCATCGATATCACTGTCTATACAATAACCATCGATATCACTGTCTATACAATAACCATCGATATCACTGTCTATACAATAACCATCGATATCACTGTCTATACAATAACCATCGATATCACTGTCTATACAATAACCATCGATATCACTGTCTATACAATAACCATCGATATCACTGTCTATACAATAACCATCGATATCACTGTCTATACATTAACCATCGATATCACTGTCTATACAATAACCATTGACATCACTGTCTATACAATAACCATCGATATCACTGTCTATACAATAACCATCGATATCACTGTCTATACAATAACCATCGATATCACTGTCTATACAATAACCATCGATATCACTGTCTATACAATAACCATCGATATCACTGTCTATACAATAACCATCGATATCACTGTCTATACATCAATACCATCGATATCACTGTCTATACATCAATACCATCGATATCACTGTCTATACATCAATACCATCGATATCACTGTCTATACAATAACCATCGATATCACTGTCTATACAATAACCATCGATATCACTGTCTATACAATAACCATCGATATCACTGTCTATACAATAACCATCGATATCACTGTCTATACAATAACCATCGATATCACTGTCTATACAATAACCATCGATATCACTGTCTATACAATAACCATCGATATCACTGTCTATACAATAACATATACAATAACCATCGATATCACTGTCTATACAATAACCATCGATATCACTGTCTATACAATAACCATCGATATCACTGTCTATACAATAACCATCGATATCACTGTCTATACAATAACCATCGATATCACTGTCTATACAATAACCATCGATATCACTGTCTATACAATAACCATCGATATCACTGTCTATACAATAACCATCGATATCACTGTCTATACATCAATACCATCGATATCACTGTCTATACAATAACCATCGATATCACTGTCTATACAATAACCATCGATATCACTGTCTATACAATAACCATTGACATCACTGTCTATACAATAACCATCGATATCACTGTCTATACAATAACCATCGATATCACTGTCTATACAATAACCATCGATATCACTGTCTATACAATAACCATCGACATCACTGTCTATACAATAACCATCGACATCACTGTCTATACAATAACCATCGATATCACTGTCTATACAATAACCATCGATATCACTGTCTATACAATAACCATCGATATCACTGTCTATACAATAACCATCGATATCACTGTCTATACAATAACCATCGATATCACTGTCTATACAATAACCATCGATATCACTGTCTATACAATAACCATCGACATCACTGTCTATACAATAACCATCGATATCACTGTCTATACAATAACCATTGACATCACTGTCTATACAATAACCATCGATATCACTGTCTGTACATCAATACCATCGATATCACTGTCTATACAATAACCATCGACATCACTGTCTATACAATAACCATCGATATCACTGTCTATACAATAACCATTGACATCACTGTCTATACAATAACCATCGATATCACTGTCTATACAATAACCATCGATATCACTGTCTATACAATAACCATCGATATCACTGTCTATACAATAACCATCGATATCACTGTCTATACAATAACCATCGATATCACTGTCTATACAATAACCATCGATATCACTGTCTATACATCAATACCATCGATATCACTGTCTATACAATAACCATCGATATCACTGTCTATACAATAACCATCGGTATCACTGTGTTTCTACATTGATAATCATTAATATCATTGTATATACATCAATGACCATTAATAATATGTATAATAATAATTCCGCATTTGTTACAGTGCCCTATCCCGTCTTCGAGACGTCTCAAAGGGCTTCACAGCATATACTGCAAAGTGAATTATATTTTGTTGTGAACGTGACAGCCCGTTGCACGCAGCAGTGTCCCCACAAACAGCTGTGGATATTTTTTTCAACAGATTATTACCCCCGAAAAATCAATCTGCTTTTATTATTAAGATTTCTGTGAACACATCAATAACCATTAATATTACCTTCTCCTCATTAATTATCATTAATATTAGTCTCCCTCAATCATTTGTACTACTGTATACATATTAATAATCAATCATTTACAGTATCCACATTAATATAATAATCTTTGATATAACACCTGATCACGTTATTGAAACGTGTCACAGAATATATTGTAAAGTGCAGTGACTGTGTATTTTGTGGGCGAAACGTGGCAGCCGATTGCACACAGCAGCGTCACACAAACAGCCAGTGAGTGAGTGACCAATTTTATTTGGGGGATTGTTGGGACACCGGGAGAGAGAGAGAGAGAGAGAAACTCCCTTCTCTTTTCCAATAGTACCATGGGATCGCTAACCTGAACCGGCAGACGGGACCTCAACAGCAACAACAAATTATGTTTGTAAAGTGCTTTTCACATCAGGAGGACAACCCGAGGCGATGGACAGTCAGGGATCTGCACCCGAGCTGGGGGTTGGGATCAGGAGGGGTGCAAGGCAGGTGGGGGAGGGGGGTGACTGAAGGCATGGTCGAAGAGCAGGGTCTTAAGACGTGTCTTGAAGGAGGCGAGGGAGGGGGTGAGGCGGAGGGACTGCTGGATGGAGTTCCAGAGGGTGGGCAGAGACGCTAAAGCCCCACCAATGGTGGGGAGGGCGAAACGAGGGACGTGAAGCAGGCCGGAGCCCGCTGTGCAGGTTGATAGGGGGTTAGGAGGCTACAGAGGTAGGGGAGAGCGAGGCCATGGAGGCCTTTGAAGGTGAGGACCAGGATCTTGATTTGTATCCTCTGTGTGATGGGAAGCCGGTGGAGACGAGCGAGGATGGGGGCGATAGGGTCTCAGAGCCTGGTGCGGGAGAGGACACGGGATGCAGAGTTCTGGGTGATCTGGTAGAGGGAGGAGTTGGGGAGGCTGACAAGCAGGGAGTTTGCGAGGTCGAGCCTGGATTTGCTGACTGAGGATACGAGGGTCTCAGCGGCCTGCGGTGAGAGGCAGTGGCGGAGCCGGGCAGTGTTGCAGATTGTCTTGGCTTAACGTCTCATCCGAAGGACGGCACCTCCGACAATGCAACACACCTCCAGCATTGCATTGAAGTGTCATCTTAGACCGTGTGATTCCAAGTCCCGACGTGGGGCTTGAACCCACAATTTTCTGACTCAGAGGCCAGAGAGCTCGCAACTGACGCACATATTACTGTATACACCACCCAACACATTAATATTCATTAGTACTAATATGCACATTACACACACATTAAGTGACTAATATTATTATATGAATCATTCCCACACAACATAACACCATCACATTAACATTTGTATACAAATCATGTTAACATATCAACATATGTAACAAGTCATTAACATTTACCAACACTGAAGTAACATCAGTATCAAGAATATCACACTATGCAACAATCATAATAACATCTTAACAATATTTACAACAATGAAACCCAATATTAACAATATTCACAGCCAACAATGCTAACAATATTATCATCAATCCACACAAAGCAAAACAATAACGATATAGAGTATTAATATTCACAGCCTCCATAAAATGCAACCCTTCTTACAATACTATCAATATTATAATAATAATCCTTGCACTGTTATAGCGCCTTATCGTGTCTCAAAGTGCTTCACAGGATATACTATAAAATATACTAATATCAAATTAATATATATATTTATATTAATCCACACAAAGCAAGCCAATAATAACAGTCAGTATTAATTTTCACAGCCTCCCCAAAATGCACCATTATTACAAAACTAACAATATTCATAGCCATTCAGCAGCTGATGAAACGCAAGAATTATCCACAAATATTTTTTTCCAAATTATTTTTCATATCACCTTTTTACACACCACAAAGTGTGACGGATACTCAATCCTTTGCCTTTCTCTCTTCACAATATGACGCGTCATCAACATCAAAACAACACCACAGGTAAGTTCTGTAAAGTGTAGTGACTGTGTGTTTCGTGGGAGATCGTAGCAGCTAAAGTGCCCATAAAGTGCATGGCTTATTTTATCTCAATTTCAAAATACTTGTCCTCACGTTAAAGCCTCCAGAGTTTTGCTCCTCCCTGCCTCTGTGACCTTTTAAAACTTCTCCAAGCTGCCCGCTCCCTCCCTCTTGACCACAACAAGATAAACGAGGAATCGCAAAGTCCTGGCATAAGTCTCAGTTTGGTTCACAGGGCGCTCATTCATTCATTCATTCATTCATTTCTGGTCAAATGACATCAAGGAAATATTTGTACCTAAATATGTGCTTCTTTAATAATAATCCTATGTATCGCGCCTTATCATGTCTCAAAGAGCTTCACAGAATACCAGTGTGCATATTTTGTGGGCGAAACGCGGCAACTAATTGGGTACAGTAGTGTCCCACAAACAGTGGTGGATTGAGTGACCAAATAATTATATGTTTTTTTTTTTGAAGGGATTATTACCCCCGGAAAGCGAGCTGCCAATCGACTATTAAAGGAGTTTCTACTTACAGAAGCGTGTGGTGTAATGAAAGTTGCCTACGGTTTTGCCCTGCTCAAGAAATGAATCGGGGTCCTCTTGCTTGTGAGGTCTCTAACCACTGTGCTACAGGATTCCACCTTTGTGAACTTCTCGTTGGGACAGCAGCAAAAGGCACATTCTTTGCTGTCTCTCATCCTGATGGGTTTGTGGGAATAATGTGCACTACATTCAAGGTATTCAAGCCTGGCAAGCTTCCCGCTGCTGTCCAGCTAGGACCACCCTACCCATTAGGGGTTTCGCTGCAGGGTTAACAGGAGGGAAAAAAACAAACAAAAGCTGGTTTCAACATTTTATTTTAAAATAAGATTCAAGAAATATCTTCCCAGCATTGCAATCTTAGACTATATGATTCCTAGTCCCTACGTGGGGCTTGAACCTACAACCTCCTGACTGAGAGGCGAGAGTGCTATCATTTCACCAGATAGACACACAACTGTGATAGAGAATTGGTTTAATGCCTCATCCGAAGGTTGTCTTTCTTACGCTGCCTGCTGGAGATCAATAGAACTTTATTGTGTTGATCAGAAAAATAAATAAATCATGGATTTATTTGCTGTTAATCTTGTTTCCCAAACTGCTGTTGGGATCTTGTGACTCATATCAATAAAGGCTGCGGTGGGGGGAAGTGGGTTAGATTCTAATGGTTGCCTTGGAAACATATTTCACAGGGGATTTTATTGAGGTATTATTATAAGATACTAAATGATTGAGAACGTAGGCCCAGAAATATGGTTTAATAATAATAATTCTCATATTTGATAGAGCATCTCATCATGTCGCTGAGATGGCTCAAAGCACTTCACAGGATATACTGTAAAGTGAATTGACTGTATATTTTTGGGTGAAACAGGGATCCAATTGCCCACAGTGTCCTCCAAACAGTCGTGGTTTGAGTGACCCAGTTTTTATTTTAATGGATTGTTATCCTGGCAAGCGATCCTCCAGTCCACTAGCAAGCGGGTTCCTACTTACTGCTAGGTAAACAGAGAAGTGTGGAGAGGAAACAGAAAAGAAACTTGCATAACGTTTTGCCCCGCCCGGGAATTGAACCCGGATCCTCTCACTTGCGAGGTGAGTGCACTAACCACTACCCAAGGGGACACTGACAGAGTTCTGTATGGCATGCGTTGGAGGCAGCTAAATGGCTGTGCTCCAAGGAGAGAAAAGCACCAAGGTTGATCGCTGGGCAATTGTTCTTATCTGGAATCATTGGTTGGGATATTCTGTGCTGTCGGCGTGGCCTGAGCTATCCTCGTCTGCATGGATGGGGAGGGGATTAAGACCTCTTCAGGTCTGACAAGACGACAAGAGCTGAGTTATATCCCGCTGACCCCATCACACCTCCACCTGGCGAGAGATCAGACACAACACAAATCAATCTGTGCGGAAAATACATACATAACAACAAGATTACATTTGTATAGCGGCTTTCACGTCGGCAGGACGTCCCAAGGCGCTGGACAGTGACAGCATTTCAGACCCGAGCTGGGGTCAGCGAGGGGGAAGGGAGGGGAAGGGGGGTGTCCAATGACGTGGTGGAAGAGGAGGTTGAGTGGGGGGAATGGGTGAGTTGGTAGGGGTAGGAGGTCGCAGAGGTAGGGTGGGGCGAGGCCATTGAGGGCTTTGTAGGTTAGGACCAGTTTCTTGAACTGGATCCTTTGAAGGATAGGGAGCCAATGGAGTCGGGTGAGAGTGGTGGAGACGGGGTCACGGAGTTTGGTGCGGGAGAGGACACGGGCTGCAGAGTTCTGGATTATCTGCAGCTGTGGAGGGAGGAGTTGGGAAGGCCGACAAGCAGGGAGTCTGCATTGTCGAGCCTGGAGGTGATGAAGGCATGAACAAGAGTTTCAGCGGCCTGAGGGGTGAGGTAATGATGGAGTTGGGAGATGTTACGGAACAACAATAATAATCCTTGCATTTTATATAGTGCCTTATAACATCTTCAGTAATAACTACAAATTACATTAATAATAATCCTTGCATTTGATATAGAGCCTTATCACATGTTCTAGATGTCTCAAAACGCTTCAAAGAATATACTGTAAAGTGCGTGACTGTATATTTGGTGGGTGAAACGGGACAGCCAATTGAGCACAGAAGTGTCCCCACAAACAGTCGTGGATTTACAGGATAATTTGGAATTGGGAGAATACACATCAGGAAGAAAACTCAATGTTACCTTGGAATAGCTGAAGGGTGGGGGGCGGGGGGAGGGATTCTGCATCTCTGGCCTCTGAGTCAGAAGGTCCTGGTCGACAATCCCCCAAATAAAATTGGTCACTCGCTCCATGGCTGTTTGTGGGACACTGCTGTAAGCAAACTATTTACCTACAAAGGACAGTCACTTTACAGTGAATCTTGTGAAGCGCTTTGACGTCTTCCCAATGTGAAATGTGCTGTACCAAGTGTAAGGCTTATCGATTGGAGAAACAGGCTTGATGGGCTGAATGGCCTCCTCCTGTGCCCTTACCTGGATGAGCCCCACTGCCACACAAGTAGAGCCCTCTGACGGGGGAGCGGTAGTCAGCATGAGAGGGCGACGGGCGAGTAAAGTACAGCTGATCCAGTGACATTGCTCCGTGGAAGATGTTCTATCAGAAATAGTAAACAGTCATTCGCTGCCATTGTCCCCTCACTGGGCACAGCCTGGCGCGGTGTGGGAGTGAGCGCAAACAGACCAGACTTAAGGGTTTTTGATAAGAGTACTATGTTACATAAAGTCGCAAAGGGACGCAGAATCATAGTTACATAGAGCTACATAGATATACGTAGAGCTATACTGTATAGAGTGATACAGCATGGAAACAGGCCATTCAATCCAACTATTCAATCCCAGTGTTTATACTCCACACTCCATTTCCTCTCTCCTACACCCCTCTATTCCCTTCTCCCACACCCCTCTATTCCCTTCTCCTACACCCCTCTATTCCCCTCTCCTACACCCCTCTATTCCCCTCTCCTACACCCCTCTATTCCCCTCTCCTACACCCCTCTATTCCTCAGTCTATTCCCCCCACGTAAACTGGCTATCTTACATTTATACTCTCTCATCTCACTAACAAGTGGAAACAGCCAATCAACATCCATCTTATCGAATCCTTTTAGAGTCTTAACCCCTCTTATCATTTCCTCTCTCACTGATCTCCAATGTCCCTGTGCCTACAGTGGCAATACCTCAGCGCTGCACTGAGGCGGATGTTAGAATCACAGTGTAATTCGTTAGGTTACATTGTGACAGGAATATTACATTAGTGGAGAAAATTTTCTTGGGAGAAATTGGTGAGAAAGTTCAAAGCAAACAGAATCAGTAGATACTGGACCTTCTTACACCCTTCTGACCTGGCATGAGAGTGCTACCAAGTGGCAAAAGAACCAGAGGAGAGACCAGACGAGGAGAAATATTTCTACTCGGCGAGTTGTTACAGTCTGGAATGCACTGCCGAAAAGAGTGACAGAAGCAGATTCGATAGTAGCTTTCAAAAGAGAAATTGGATAGGTACTTGAAAAGGAAAAAAATTGCAGAGTATGTGGTAAGAGCAGGGGAGTGGGACTAGTTGGGTAGCTCTTTCAAAGAGGCACAATGAGTCAAATGGCCTCCTTCTGTAATTATGATTTTAAGTGAGGCAGTTGAAGATTTGAGTATTTGATGATGAAGGAGGAAGACAGTGATGATACTGACCCCACCAGTCAATCCAAACACCTTCTCCAGGTCTGGGGGTGTCAAGATGTCTCGCCCAACCACAGAGGCCTTGAAGCCTGGAGCGTACTGCTCTATGCAGTCAAACACTGGGAGATCAAAGGAGATAGACATCAGTCAGAGCAGGAAAGTATCAGCCAGTGGTGGAACGTCAACCACAATGTCTTGCATTTATATAGCAACCTTCATGCAGGTTACTGTCTCAGAACGCCTGACAGTGACGGAGCTTGACGATGAACCGTTGAGAGTGAGTGAGTGAGTGAGTGAGTGAGAGAGTGAGTGAGAGTGAGAGTGTGTGAGTGAGTGAGTGATTGTAAGCATGGTCGAAGAGGAAGGTCTTCAGTCATGATCTACAAGAGAAGGAGGGGGCAAAGCAGAGAGATTTAATTTCAAAGCTTTGGGGCATAGTGGCTGAGAGCATTCCATCATGCTTTATGCTTGTGGTCAGATAGTCATGGGTTCGAGACCCCACCCCCTTCCCAGTTTGCGGTACTTTAAACTCACAGTCCAGACTGATGCTCCAGAGCAGTGCGGGGGCGGGGAAATTAACCCAAGGTCCCATCTGTGCCCTGTTCAGGCAAAAGTTGAAGATCTTGCGTCTACCATTGGAAAGAGAAGGGCGTTTCTGTCTCTTGATGTCCTGGCTAGCACTTCAACAGATAAAACAGCCATTCACCTCACAGCTGTTTATGCATTGTTATGTGTACAATGACATTTGCCTCCACCTGACCACAGTAATTACTGAGAAGTGCTCTGATAGAAGAGTGCTTATAAAAATGCAAATTAGTCCTTTCCATAGGCAAATGTAGCTCGCTGCTGTGAAGGACGTTATTGATGGTTTACTGATGGATGAATTTTCCCTCTAGTAAAGGGATCTGACATCTTTGTTGCCCAGTCGGGTGTGTGACACATGCGGAAACCCATCACCATGTTTAAGAGTATCCAACCCAAGCTGAGATTTCCATTCATCCCACCTACACTTGGAAATCCCAGAGATAGATTGCTGGAATAGAATGCGCTCTCCCTCTCTCTCTCACCCCCAACCCCCCCCCCCACCCCCCCTCCCCAGAGGGACACATCCTGTTTACCTAATTTTGGAAAGTGTTAAGCGCAGGTTGGCAAAAGTCAAGGTTTGGGGACCCCAGAGTGTGCATTTGAGTAACTGCTGGAGTCTAACCAGCTAAAATCACACAGCTTGCCATTGATATCGCTGTCTGACAAACTTTCCCGCTGCTTGTCCAGCTAGGACCTCCCTACCCATTCGGGCTTTGGCTGCAGGGTTAACGGAAGCTGAGGGGAAGGATTCCCTGCTGGTCTATCCTTCCAAGTCCTACCGATGAGCCAGGCCGGGCTGTTTTGTCATCAGCAGTGAGTGCCCTGGAAGACTGCAGACCCGCCTGGCTCAGGAACCGGACTAGAGACCGTCACTGAGGACTGGCTCGATTCCGATTTCTGTTGGCAAACGTGTCACTTTGGAGCCAGTTCAGCTCCAAGGAACCCCTGTTTACCTCTGGCTCAGGGAGGTTAAGAGAGGTAGGAAAAGAACAAAAGCGAGAGAGATAGAGAGAAAATGAGGTAAGGAGTCTCTTTAGTCATATACCTCTGTCAGCATAAGCCTGTCTCTCCTCATCGTCCCACTCTTTTCCTCCCGGCAGCCAGTACGGGGTGTACTGTGTGAACATGGAGATGATGTGGCAGCCAGTTGGGGCGAGGGTGGTGTCCAGCACCGAGGGGATACACATCTCAATCAGCGGTCTGTCAGCGACAAAGGGGACTTTCTGTCAAACCAACAACTATCACTGAGACTGACACTGCAGTGCTGATGTATACTGTGTATATGAGCTGTGTGCTCCGTGCCCGCTCGCTGTGTGCTCCGTGCCTACTCGCTGTGTGCTCTGTGCCCGCTCGCTGTGTGCTCCGTGCCCGCTCGCTCTGTACCTGTGGGAAGTCCGGCCTGCGCTGGCATCCTGGTATGCCTGGTGGATAGAGGCCATGTCCTCGGTGTTCAGATGGATGGTGCCTGACAGGCAACATGCCATGTTGGCTCCCTTGTCAGCCAACGCCGTGAAGTTTGGCAAACGATCCACGGCAACTGGTGGGAGACAGAGGAATAGCACATAAGAACATAAAAATTAGGCCATTCGACCCCTCTAGCCTGCCCCGCCATTCAATAAGATGGCTGATCTATTCTAACTCCACCTGCCCGCGTTATCCCCATATCCCTTTATCCACAAGAAATCTATCAATCTCAGTCTGGAATATGTTCAAGGACTGAGCATCTACAGCCCTTTGGGGTAGAGAATTCCATAAATTCACTGCCCTCTGAGTGAAGAAGTTTTTCCTCAACTCAGTGCGAAAGGGTCTACTCCGAATTTTAAGACTGTGACCCCTGGTTATTGTTTCTCCAAGAAGGAGAAAAAGTCTCCCACTATCTATTCTTCCGTGCCTCTTAATAATCTTATAGGTTTCTATAAGATCACCTCTCATTCTTCTATATTCTAGAGAATATAGGCCTAAATTGCTAAACCTATCCTCATAACTCATCCCCCTCATTCCTGGTACCAACCTCGTGAATCTACGTTGTACCCCCTCCAAGGCGAGTACATCCTTTCTTAAATAAGGAGACCAAAACTGCACACAATACTCTCGGTGCGGTCTCACCCTATACAATTGCAGCAACACTTCCCTACTCTTATATTCTAACCCTTTTGTAACAAATGCCAACATACAGTTAACCTTCCTAACTGTTTGCTGTACCTGCAAACTAACTTTTTGTGACTGGTGTACAAGGACACCCAAGTCCCTCTGAACGCCAACACTATCTAGTCTCTCCCCTCTAAAAAATAACCTGCTCTACTGTTTTTGCCACCGAGGTGGATGACCTTACACTTCCCTACATTATACTTCATCTGCCACCTATTTGCCCACTCACTGAGCCTATCTATATCTCGTTGCATTTTTTTAATGTCATCCTCGGTGTTTACTCTCCCTCCTAGTTTAGTGTCATCCGCGAATTTGGATATATTAAGTTTGATGTCTTCATCTAGATCGTTGATGTAGATTGTAAATAGTTGAGGCCCAAGCACTGATCCTTGTGGCACTCCACTAGTCACATCCCGCCAATCTGAGAAGGACCCGCTAAGCCCTGCTCTTTCTTTTCTTCCTGTTAGCAATTCTTCAATCCATGCTAATATATTCACCTTAATTGCAAGCGAGACACCTGGGTTCAATTCCAGGCAGAGGGCGAAACCTTGGGCAAGTTTCCTTACTCCACACCCCTAATAATAATCCCTCCAAAACAATAATAAATTGGTCATTTTCAATCCAGGACTGTTTGTGGGACATTGCTGTGCGCAATTGGCTGCCGTGTTCGCCCACAAATATACAGTCAAATCACTTTACAGCATATTCTGTGAAGTGCTTTGAGACGCCTAGAAGACATGAAAAGCGCTATATCAAATACAAGGATTATTATTATATTATTATAATTCCATGGGCCCTAATCTTGTGGATCAACCTTTTATACAGCACCTTATCGAATGCCTTTTGGAAATCTAAATACGCTACATCCACTGATTTCCCCCTATCAATCTACTTGATATGTCCCCCCAAAAAATCTAAAAGATTTGTTAAGCATGACTTCTTTGGTAAAGCCACGTTGACTCTGTCTAATCATATTGTGATCCTCTATGTATCCCACTACCACATCCTTAATTAAATATTCTACAATTTTCTCTACCACCGATGTCACACTGACTAGTCTATAGCGCCCCATCTTTTCTCTCCCACCCTCTTAAATAGTGGTGTGACGTTTGCGATCTTCCAATCAATGGGAACCGTTCCAGAATCCAAAGAATTTTGGAAGATCAAACACAAGGCCTCCGCTATCTCATGAGTTACCTCTTTTAAAACCCTCGGATGCAGACCATCAGGTCCAGGGGACTTGTCACTTTTTAATGCCAACAATTTCCCTCGCACCAAATCTTTGCTAATGTAAATTTCCCTGAGTTGCTGCCTATCATTAGCCCTTGGGTCATCTCTATTTCTGGTAAACTTCTTGTGTCTTCTAACGTGAAGACAGAAGCAAAGTATTTATTTAGGGACTCGGCTATATCCTTATCCTTATTATGCCTCCTGTTTCTGCCTGTAATGGACCCACATTTACTTTTGATAACCTATTCCTCTTAATGTATTTATAAAAACTCTTACAATCTGTCTTAATGTTCCTAGCGAGCTTGCCCTCATCCATTTTCGCTCTCCGGCCTTGGCTCCTGATAGCTGACTGCTCTCCCTGCTCTCGCTCTCCGGCCTCTGCTCCTGATGACTGCTCTCCTCGCTCTTGCTCTCCGGCCTCTGCTCCTGACTGACTGACTGCTCCCCTCGCTCTCGCGTATCTGCTCCTGATGGCTGACTGCTCCCCTCACTCTCACTCTCCGACCTCGGCTCCTGATGACTGACTGCTCCCCTCGCACTCGCTCTCCTGTCTCTGCTCCTGAATGGCTGACTGCTCTCCTCGCTCTCCGGCCTCTGCTCCTGATGGCTGACTGCTCCCCTCGCTGTGTCTCAGCTGCGCCCCTCGCTCTCCGGCCTCTGCTCCTGATACGTTGCACATTGCTGTAGGAGATGATATGAAAAGTGCAGTGCCTCCCCCCACCCTCGTCCCTCTGCTGGACTCTGAGCTCAAAGTGCTAACATAGGGTGGGCTTGAACCACTCTGACGCAGAGGTGAGAGTGCGAGAGACTGAGACGAGCTTGCTTGTACCACCTAATGGCTGGTTCAAGTACAGTAGTGGCAAACCCTTTGTTTGCGTTAGCAATAATAATCGTTGCATTTGATATCATGCCTTATCCCGCTATTGAAATATCTCAAAGCTTTTCACAGGATATACTGTAAAGTGAATTGACTGTATATTTTTTGTATGAAACATGGCAGCCAAATGCACAAAGTAGTGTCCCACAAACAGTCTGGATTGAGTGACCAATCTTTTTAAAAAACTGGAATTATTATCCCTGGAAAGCGCCAATCGACTGACAACTGGATTATTACTTATTGCGAGGTAAAAAAAGGCATGTGGAATAAAGGAAACTTGCCTACGGCTTTACCCCGCCCTTGAATCGAACCTGGGCCCTCTGACTTGCAAAGTGAGCGCTATAACCACTACACTACAGGACTTTGAAGTCTACGAGACAATCTATAGAGAGCTCAATGGAGAGACGAGAGGGGATAGGGGTTAAAGGATTGTCAGAGATCAGTGCACTGATTAATATCATACACAGAACTCGGTAACTGAGACATAACAAGATATTCTGCTGGAAGCAATCACCTACCATTAATTTTGGTGACCGGAGAAGTGTAGTCAATCGATGAAATGTCCTTAATGAAGTCTTCTGGCAAACAGTGCTGTTTTGAGCATGAATTAACAACATTATTTAATAATAGCACAACCCACACAACTAAACCAACCCGACCAACCCAACCAACCAACTCAATCCAACTGACCCAACCCATCCAACCCAACCAACCAATCCAACCCAACTAACCCAACCAAATCCACGCAACCCACCAACCAACTCAACCAACTACCAACTTGCACTTATATAGCACCCTCCACGCATGGTAATGTCTCAGTGGGAGAGCTTGATACTGGTGGGGGGAGCTGGTCTTAAGCATGGTCAAAGAGGAAGATTTTCAGGTGGGACTTGAAAAGAGATAGAGAGAGTGAAATGTGGAGGGATTGAGGGGATTGAGAGAGAGTTTTCCAGAGTTTTAGAGCGTAGTGTCTGAAAGCGCGACCTCGGATGGTGGGGCGGAGGGTACGAGGAACAGGCTGGTGTCAGTCGGGTTGAGGTGCCGGGTGGTGGAATGGGGAGTGAGGAGGTCAGAGAGGTAGGGAGGTGCCATGGAGTGAGTGGATTTGAACATGAGTGTGAGGATCTTGAAGTCAATCCATTGTGATGGGGAACCAGTGGAGCCTGGCCAGAACGGGTGAGATGTGGGTACAGAGTTTGGTCCGGAGGCAATGTGGTGGAGGTGGAAGAAGGTGGTCCTGACCAGAGACCAGATGTGGGGGAGGAAGGACAGCTGGGGGTCGAACCAGACGCCTAAGTTGCGCGCTGGTTTGGTGAGTCTGAAGGAGAGCCCACGAAGGTTGAGGAGTTTAGATCCGGAGGATTGAAGACGTTGACAGGAGCCAAGGAGTATGGCTTCCGTATGGTCCATGTTCAGTTGCAGGAAGTTTACACTCATTCAAGCCCTGATGTCTGCCAGTCAAGCTGATAGAACATCGGTGGTCCTGGAGTTGGTACTGGAGGAGGAAAAGTAGATTTGTGTGTCATTCTCATACATATGAATGTTTACCCCATGTCTGCGGATGACATCGCCCAGACGGAGCATATAGACAAGGAAAAGGAGGGTGCCAAGGATGGAACCCTGGGGTACCCAATAGATGACCGGGGCGGAGGTCGGAGGAGAAATCATTTGCAGAGATGAAATGGAAACTTGGTTAAGGTATTAAGGTAGTTGAGGGAGGAGAGGTAGTGGAGGAGGACGTTGTGTTTGACTATGTTGAATGCGCAGAGAGATCCAGAAGGACGAGGAGACAAAGGGAGCCCAGGTCACATAGAGAGAATGTTGTTTGAGACTTTGACAAGTGCTGTCTCTGTGATGTAGGCCACCCCACAACACACGCAGGGTGTGTGGTGAAAAATGTAGCCAGGAGGGGAGGCTTCAACGAAGGAGACAGGGTCACCGGGGGGAGCCAGGTTTCTGTAAGCCCATCCAGGATAAGTTCATGGATAGTCAAGGCTTTATTGGAGAGGGAGCGAACATTTTGGAGGAAAATGCGGATAGGTTTGTTTGACAGGGAGGGAGGAAATGAGTGGTATAGAGAGGTTTTGGGGTCATGCGGAAAAAATTATATGGAGTTTGAGGAGCTAGGGAGATTTGGAGAGGGTATGGATGAGGGAGGGGAAGGGGTGTTTGCCTTTCAGAGGCTAAGAGAGAGTGAGTGATGGGACAGTTGGGGTGGCTGTTCTGGAACAACCAACACCGGGAGCCACAATGGAGGATGCCTAAGCTGGAGCAGAGGGATGTAATCGTGGGGTCCAGGAGAGAGAAGGCGAGGAGGGCGGTGGGATAGAAGGACAGAGTGGGAGTAGCGGATTGTGGGGGTGGGAGCAGGAAAATTTTCAGAGGGAGCAGCTCAGGTCAGGGCGGCAGCTAAAACACACACGCAGAGACAGGGAGCAAGCCATTAGTGAGGCAGCATCAGCTGACCACCCCAACTAATCCAACTAATTTAACCAATCAACTAACTCAACCCAACTTCAACCAATCAACCAACCTATCAACCAACCAACCAACCCAACCAACTCAACCAACCAACTAATCCAACCAAACCCATCCCAAATAACCCAAACCAACACGCCAACCAATCAAACAACCAACCCACCCCAAATATTCCAACCTAACAAACCAACCAACTCAACCCCATCAACCAACCCAACCAATCTAACCAACAAATCCAATTAACCAACCAAAACCAATCAACCAAATACCCAACCAACCAAATAACCAACCAACCCCACCAACCCAACCAACCAAGGATTTCCCTAGCCAGTGGGATCTATTATGCGCAGTGTAAGCCATGTGTTAACACTGAGCTGACATTTATTCTGCACAATTGGTGTAAATAGACCTGGCTACACAGCCTCACCTGTGGAGTCAGCTGGAGGAAAGTCACGTGAGGGGTGGCATTGGACAAGACTACTTTGCTCCTAATCTCGGTGCCATCCTTCAGCACCACTCCATTAGCTGCCCCAGTGCTGTCTACCACAATCTGGCTGACCGGCTGACAAAGAGAGATAAAGAGAGACATTGGCTTAGAATCATAGAGAGTTACAGCACATAGAGGGACATGTGGCCTATCGTCTCTGACAGAGCTCTCTGTTCCATCTCACTCCTCTCCAATTCCTTGACTGTCCAACGCCTTGAGATGTCCTCCTGACATGAAAAGTGCTGTGTGAATGTAATTTTTTATTATTCAAACATTTCTCCAATTTTATTTTTGAATCTCTCCTGGATTCTGCTTCAACCAGTGTTGACCCTGTTCCCCCCACCTCCCCACTGTCACTCCTCTTCCCACCCACCACCAAATCCAATCCCAATCCCTTAAAGCATATAAATGAGTTTGAGGTACAGATTAGCCATGATCCAATAGTGGAATGGTGGAACAGGCTCAAAGGGCTGAATGGCCAACTCTTTCTTGCTCCCATGTTCCTATCTTCCTAATTGTGATCCAATCCCTATCCATTTGCATCCTGTTTCCAAATCCCAACCTTGATCCTAATGTCATTCGTTCCCAATGCCGATTGCTCCCAGGCCCTATGCTGCAGTGGTGTGGTTGACTCACGGATCAGCTCCCCCACTCAGAATGAACCCCTGGCAATGGGCCCCCGATTGGCAAGCTGCTGGCTGCTCACCAAAACCCAGGTACCTTGTCTGTGAAGATGGCTGCTCCGTGGGATGAGGCTGCACTGGCGATGGATTTGGACAGCGCCCCCATTCCTCCTTCTACATAACCCCACACCCCCTTCACTCCCTCCAGTTCCCCCATCACATGGTGAAGCAGCACATACCTGCGAGGAGGGGAGATAGAGAACATTGTCAAGGACACAAGGTGTGTTTACACAGCGCCCGTCACATAATAAATAATAATAATAATAATTCTTGCATTTGATATAGCACCTTATCACGTCTTTGAGACGTCTTCAAAAGCGCTAAAGTGAATTGGCTGTATATCTTGTGGCGGAAATATACACATGGCCCTCGAAAAGAGGAAAACAAGGGGAGGAGAGAGGGAGAGCAAACGAGCCGCGAGCGAGCAAACCATGCAGGGATAATAATAATAAGCCTTTCATTTGATATAGTGCATTTTCATGTGGTTGAGCTGTCTCAAAAGCGCTTCACGGGATATAATGTAAAGTGTAGTGACTATGTATATCGTGGGAAAAATGGGGCAGCCAGTTTGTGAACTGCAGGTGTCCCACAAACAGTTGTGGATTGTCCTCATTCCGTTCTCTGACCCTGACCAAAGATTGACTGCCAAAAGGCCGGATATCACCCTCAGCCCACCCACCCACCGACCTTACCGACTGCCAATCACAGCCATTTCAGGAGGAGAGGAGGCAGAGGGGTAGAGCCAAGTCGGCCAAATCCTGACCTGACAACCCCCCACCCACCCCCTCCAATCCTTTGGCCCTATACCCATCCCTGCCCTACCCACTGCCGGGAGTCCGGGGGCTCAGCATTGCCCCCACCACCGCATCCGTGGCTAATGTGGCTTTCAGCGGCTCCGACTCAAACCAGCGGTCCAGGATCTGTGAATAAATCAACCACAAGTTGATAGTGATATTGTCGAGATAATAATAATAATAATCCTTGAATTTGTATTGCGCCTTATCGCGTCATCTCTGGGATGCTGCCCTATGTGAGGAGCGCAATATATATATGCAACCTGTTGTTGTTGTCTCAAAGCGCTTCACAGAATGTATTGTAAAGTGGCGTGATGATGTAATTTGTGCGACAGCCAGCTTGCACACAACAATGTCCCACAAACAGTTAAGCGAGTGACCGAATTATTATTATTTATTTATCTCTTTTTGAAGGGATTATTACCCCCGGAAAGCGATCCGCCAATCGACTGACAACTATTACTGCGAGGTGAGCGCGCTGCGCACTGCAACGCTGTGCAGGGGGTCCCCTCACCTGTCACAGTGTAACCCCACCATCTCACGCTTTGTTATTACTCCGTTGAGCATCCTATCCCCGTCCCCTCATGAATCCATCATGTTTCCTCTTAAAATATATTGATACTATTTTGCTTGGCTCACAGTCTCTGGCAGTGAGCTCCACATTCTCACTACCCTCCTAAAGTTCCCCCTGAACTCCCTGTTAGATGTGTTTCCATCTGTCTTATATCATACTAGTTTCTAGTTTCACAACCAAGGGACTAATAATAATAATAATCCTTGTATTTGATATAGCTAGCGCCTTACCAAGTCGTTAAGACGTCTCAAAGTGCTTCCCAGGATATACTGTAAAGTGGAGTGACTGCGTTTTGTGGGCGAAACACTGCTATGAAGTGAATGACCAATTTTATTTGGGGGATTGTTGGCCAGGATACATGGAGAGAGAAACTCTCATCTCTTTCCGAATATCGTCACGGGATCTTTTAACATCCACCTGAAACAGTGGCCTCAGTTCATCCGAAGGACGGCACCTCCGACAATGCCACACTCCCCCCCAGCACTGCATTGGAGCGTCAGCTTAGACTATGTGATTCCATGTCCCGACGTGGGGATTGAACGCACAACCTTCTGACTCAGAGGCGAGAGAGAGAGGGAAAGAGAGAGAGCGAGCGCTACCACTCCGCGAGGCTGACACACTACGTTTTGACAAAATCTCAAATTTCAGAAATCATTGAATGTTAAAACGGGGCAATAGGCAGCGAAATCCCTCACTTACTTTTGCCATTGGGGCTGTCAACAGCTCATAGAACTGTGGAATGTGCTTCCCTAGTCTCAGACCTGCAGAAAGACAAACGTAATGTATTAATCAGCCTCGCCTTTGATCCAGTGCTTATAATATCAAAGCGCTTCACATGTAGTGACTGTGTGTATAATATATAACAATTTTAATTCCTGCATTTGACACAGTGCCATTCTCCCTGGGAGGATGCCTCAAAGCGCTTCTCAGGATTTACAGTATTGTGACCGTGTGTGTTCTGTAGGCGAACGCGACAGCCAATTTGTGCACAGTTGAGTCCCCGCAAACAACTTTGAAGTGACCACCCCGATTTCATCTGTGGGATGGGGGGGGGTTGTTGATCAGGACACAGCAGAGAGAAATTCTCTTCCCTTTTTGAACAGCACCGCGAGATCTTTAACATCCATCTGAACAGGCAAACGGGACCTCGGTTGAACGTCTCATCAGAAGGATGGCACCTCCCACCATACAAATGTTGGCTTTGATCATCAACTCCCCCCCCCCATTCCCGAACATGTCCCAGGTTTGAGTAGTAAATCAGGGTAATGGCTACCTGTCTGCACCAGTGGTCTGAGTGTGCGCAGAGTCTGAAGGCGGCGTCTGAGTGAGCGGCTGGTCAGTGATGGGATGTCCACAGGCACCGCGTCTAACAGGGGCTCCACAGCCCTCGCAAAGTGGCTCATCACAGCCTCGTACTGGTCATACGTCTGATACACAAACAGGTCAGCCAGACCTCAACACACTCACTGACTCACACTGACTCCCACTCACTTACTCACACTCACACACGCACTGACTCCCACTCACCTACTTACACTCACACACTCATTTACTCACACTCACTGACTCACATTCACTGACTCGCACTCACTGATGCACACTCACTTACACACACTCACTGATTCGCACTCACGCTCTGATTCTCTGTCATACACTCACTGACTCACATGGTCACTGATTCACTGACTCACACTCATTAACTCACTGACTCACACTCACTGATTCACACTCACTGACTCTCACGCTCACTGACTCATACACACACTCACGCACACTCACATACACAATCACTGACTCATACACACAGTTACTGACTCATACTCACTGACTCTCACACTCACTAACTCACACTCGCTGACTCACACATACTCACTTACTCACTCTCATACACTCACTGACTCATACTTATATACTCACTGATGCACACTCATTGACTCAGACTCATTGACTCACACTCACACGCTCCCTGGTTCACACTTTCCCCTTTGCGATTACGGGGCTCATTCACAAGACTGAGTCCGGACAGTAACACAACAATAATAACAAGATACCGGAGAGCACATCAAAGCGCTTCACAGAAGAATACTGCAAAGTGAATCGACTGAGTCCCCACAAACAGTCGTGGATTGAGCGACTGAATTTTTTTATGAGGGATTATTACCCCTGGAAAGTGCCTCGCTAAACAGAGGCGTGTGGAGTAAGGAAACTTGCCTAAGGTTTTGCCCTGTTCGGGATCGAACTCGAGTTCTCTAGCTTGCGAGGCGAGAGTGCTATCTGCTACTCAATGGGACTCACACTTTATAAAGAGGTGTAGTGACTGTGTAAGTGACTAAACTCGAGAAGGCTACTTTTGGACCTTGCCAGCGGATTTCCCTGCTCAGCAGGTCTCCTCTCCTCATTACCTGGGCGTCTTTGGCTGAGAATTGGCTAATCTGCCGCTGGTTCTCACTGGTGTTGGTGCCGAGGAGGAGCGAGCGAGGGGGCTTACCCCCCACCCCATCCTCTAGCAGCGGCGTGAAGGAGGAGGGGTCTCGCAGGTGCACCTTCAGCCCATGCTTCTGAGCTCGTACAAAGGAGGAAACAATTATTTATAGCAACAACGAGAACAAATTAGATTTATATACAGTAAACCAGTATAAGTCGTAGCAGATGGGATGATACATTTAACAAGACTTATTGCAGAGTATGAGTTATGTATGAGTTTTTTTATACAACAATACCAACAAAAACAAATTGCATTTATCCAGTGCCGTTCACACTGAAAGGATGTCCCAAGGTGCTGGACAGTTAAGGGTTTGCACTTGAACTGGGTGTTGGATTGGAGGAAAGGCAAAGGCACGGTCAAAGAGGAAGATCTTGAGATTGGCCTTGAAAGGGTGAGTGAGGGGGTGAGGTGGAGGGGCCCCGGATGGAGTTCCAGAGGGTGGGGCAGAGAGACTGAAAGCCCAACCACTCTTCAGTGCCCCCACCCATTGCCACTCACTGTCTACAGTAACATGTCAATGATGGCCATTGGGTTCAAACCCCATCAAAGGACCATCAACGGGCCATCCCCCTGTGGAAGTTCAAAATAAAGGAGAGAAAGCGCGACTCTCACTCACATCTCACTCACCTTCAGCTCCAGGTCCTGGTAAATCCGCGGCCTCAGCAAACTGAGCACGTAGGAGGCTCTCGAGAATTTGAAACCTGTAGAATAAACGCACGGTCAGTCACTCACTGACTCACCCCCAGCTCTTGGCTTCACACCCTGTCTGCAGCAACAACAACAAATTATAATAATCATTCTATTTGATATAGCGCCTTATCACATCGTTAAGATAGCGCTTCACAGAATGTATTGTAAACTGGATTGACTGTATATTTTGGTGGGCAAAACAGGACAGCCAATTACACACAGCAGTGTCCCACAAACGGTTATGGATTGAGTGACCACATTATTATTTTGAGGGAGGGATTATTACCCCAGGAAAGGATAGCTACTGCTTGATAAACAGAGGTGTGTGCAGTAAGGAAACTTGTCTAAGGTTTCGCCCAGTCCAGGAATTGAACTCGTATCCTCTCGCTTGTGAGGCGAGAGCTCTAACCACTACACTACAGGACTCCGGGCCTCCAATATGGCGCCTTTCACATCGAGACCCTACCATGGCTGGTGCTATGCATGCAAGTTGGTGTTGTTTTCTTTGTGTTTCTCCTCAGCTGGTAACGATGGAGAGATATCCTCCTTGGGATAATAAGCGTGGTCTCTTTGGAGCTGAACTGGCTCCAAGGTGACATATTTGACAACAGAATGTCAGAATCGAGCCCTCTGTGACAGTCTCTAGGCTCGTTCCTGAGCCAGGCAGATCCGCATTATTCCAGGGCACTCACTGCTGATGACTGTACAGCCCGGCCTGGCTCAGCGTCAGAACTTGGAAAGACAGACCAGTCACTGGGGACAGGGAATCCTCCCCCTCAGCTCCTGTGAACCCTGCAGCAGCCCTAAAGGGTAGGGTGGTCCTCGCTGGACAAGCAGTGGGAAAGCTGGTCAGACAGTGATATCAATGGCAAGCTGTGTGGGTTTAGCTGGTTACACTCCAGCAGTTGACCCAATGCACACTTTGGGGTCCCTAAGCCTTGGCTCTTGCCAACCTGTGCCTAATACTCTCTGGAATTTGGGAAACTGGGTGTTTATCTCCAGGGAGAGAGGGAGAGCGAGCGAGAGAGAGTGTATTCCATTCCAACAATCTCTCTCTGGGATTTCCATGTGTTGGTGGGATGTATGGAATTTTCAGTATGGTTTGGAGAGTCTTAAGCAACGGTGATGGGTTCCACACGTGTCAGACACCCGGCGGGTAAACAACAACAGATAATATTTAACTCCTTGAGGCCAATGGGATTGAATGCTCTCTCTCGCTCTCTCTCTCTCTCTTTCTCACTCCCTCTCCTTCTCACTCTCTCTCACACACTCTCACTCGTTCTCTCTTTTGTTCTCTCTCACACGCACACTCTCTCTCTCTCACTCTCTCTCATCTTCTCTCTCTCACACACGCTCTCTTACACACACACTCTCTCACGCATTCTCTCTCTCTCTCTCTCTCTCTCACTCACTCTCACACATTCTCCCACTCCCTCTCACACACTGGCTCACTCTCTCTCTCTCTCTTACACACTCTCTCGCTCTCTCGCTCTCTGTCCGAGTCCCTACCTGGGATTAGCTCCTCAGTGACAGCGGCTCCACCGATCAAGTGCCGACGCTCCAGCACAGCTGTCTTCACACCAGATCTCTGTAGGTAGGCGGCCTGGCGAGGGTAACGAGCGAGAGAGCATCATGCCCGGCTCCTGCTCATCCCTCACACACGCTACCCTGGCCGGCCAGCCTCTGAGTCAGAGAATTGTGGATTCGAGCCCCAACGTGCAACTCACACAGTCCAACCTGACCCTCCAGCACAGCGCTGGGGGGAGCCCCACTATATACCACTGGCCTCGTCCTTCATCCGAGAAGTTAAATCGAGCTCTGCCTGTGCCTGTTCAGGTAATATAAATCCTTGCATTCGATAAACCACTGCGCTCAGCAGTAAATCCTGTGAAGGGCTCTGAGACATTTCGATACTGTGATAAGGCGCTGCCATTAATAGCATAAGAGTATTATTGTGTTATTGGAGTTTAAATCACTATAGAGGTAGTTTCTACTCGTTCTAAATGGTTTTAGTGATGGGCATCCAGACCAATTAACACTGCCATGTTACATATGAATGGATGTTACTTTTCTTAATGTATTTGAACTTCCTAAAATAGCTACTTTTTACGGGAGGTTGATATTTTGTTCACTGGATATTTTGTCAAGCCGTTTCAGAATAGCCTTATTAACAGTCCCAGTTGCACTGATGATTATAAAGGCTCTGATTTATACTGCCATGTAGATCCCTATGCAATTATAAATCAATATATTTCCTGATCATCTCTAGTTCCTTATTTCTTACATTGTAATCAGTTCTGTTATTTTTATAATTTATATAAAAATTATTTTATGCAGAAAGAAGCCTTTGAGATGTCTCAATGATGTGCTAAAATACTATATCAAATGCGAGGGTTATTAATTATTATTATTTTATTATTATGCCCGAAAACTCCCCACAAACGATTTACGAAGCGGCTTCATGGGAACATAGGACCAGGAGTAGCCCCTCGAGCCTGTTCTGCCATTTTATTAATGGCATTCTATTAATCATGGCAGACCTAAACCTCAACTCCAATTTTTGCTCCGTATCCCTTGATACCTTGACCTAACAAATATCTATCCATCTCAGTCTTGATGATGTGAATGGATCCACAGCCTTTTGGGTGAGAGGGTCCCAGATTTACACCAGCCTTTGTGTGAAAAACTGTCTCCTGATTTCACTCCTAAATGGGTTAGCTCTAATTTTAAGGTGATGCCCACTTGTCCTGGATTCTCCCACAAGAAAAAAATAATTTCTCCATAGCTCCCCGAACAAATCCCTTTACTATGTTAAGCACCTCAATCAGATCACCCCTCAACCTTCTAAACTCTCCAGGGAAGTAAATACTTACTGCTACAAGTCCATTGTGTCCTGGGGAAGAAAGAAAGAAAAATACATTACCTTTACTGTCACTTAAATGGAAAATAACCAATCCTCAATGTAATCATAAGAACATAAGAATTTGCTGGCGGAAGAAGACAAAGGTCAATCTTCCACCATCCTGGCAGGCGCTTGACATGTCGTGACCCAAATTATATGCTGTATCCCTACATATTATTTTCTAGCAGATCACAAGACAGAATAGTCATGAAACCGATCTGTGTGTGTGTTTGAGGATATCTAAGTCTTTTTTCTGCTCTTCTCTCCACTAGCAGTCTCCTCTCCCTTGTTGTCCCCTGTCCCCACTCCAGGCCCTCCACCCCCACACACACAAACACACACAAATCACCCAAGGGGCCATTATTCATGTCTGAGTGTTGCCAGCGGTGGGGGGGTCACAGCCCAGCCTGACCGGTCGCAACCATGTGCATGCATTATTATTCCCTGACAAAGCATTGTACTATTTTAGTGTTATAGACAGTAATTAATGTGGGGGGAGAGGTTGCGATAATTAGACTCGGGGCTAAACTCGAGACACCCCGGGCTGTTTGAGCTGGGCTGATTATCAGGGGATATGGGGTAAAGGCAGGTATTTGGAGTTGAGGTACAGATCAGCCATAATCTGATAGATTGACAGAACAGGCTCAAGGGGCTGATTGGCCTACTCCTGTCCCTATGACCCATGTAACCCATGACTGATAGCAGCAAAACCATGAGAACCAAATTGCAAAGAGGGGAAGGGGGTGTTAACCTGTCTCAATCAGAAGCCTCTCACCTCTTAGTCAGTAGATTGTTAGGTTCAAGCCCCATGTTGGGACTTTGAGCTCACAGTGTAAACTGAAGCTGCATTTCCATTAATGGAGGAAAGTGCTGCATTGCCAGAGATACTAACCTGTGGATCAAACATTAAACTGAGGTCCTGGCTATGTTTGTTAGGGTGTTTTTTTTTAACGATGTATTTGTCGCTGTTAGAAAAATATAAGAGAGTTTCTCCCAGTGTCTTAGACGACAATTCCCCCCAGATTAAATCCTTCAATCCTGTTGGTGGGACTTTACTGGCATAAATGAGTGTACAAACAACAACAACAATGTGCATTTATATAACAGAACTCACGCAGGGTACCATCTCAGAGCCCTTAAATCAATTTGCTTACAGCCATGTCCCACAAACACAACGATAGCGGCTTTCACGTCAGGAGGACATCCGAAGGCGTTAGACAGTTAAGAATTTGCACCCAATATTACATGATGGACTCTTAGTCAGTTAGCAAGGACATGGGGGAAGGAAGTTGGGAGGGCAGAGAAACCTGCAATTTCTTTCCAGGAAGAATTCTAAAGCAAAATATTTTTAAAAAATCATAGCTTAAAATACACAAGTTGCATTTTTGTTGGTACTTTTGAAACTTAGTTGAGCTTCATGTATTCTGGAGCTAATTTATGGTAACCTGAGTTACGCTTTGGCAGTTACCTCCTCCTATAATCAAAGCGTCGTACTGAGATCCCAGAGCAGCTGCATTAGACCTCCCGCATCTGTGGAACGAGGCATTTGAAGGCAGGTTTCTCCAGACCTTGACACCATTTGTAACAGAAGTCAGATGTGACCTGCGGATTGCGGAGGATTGAATCATTCCTGTGGTGGTAATTTCCTTCTCGCGGTGAGGAAAACACAGTCTGATTTTACCCGTCAACAGCAAGGGGAGAAAAATGTTTTGGCAGTTTTGACTCCTCCCCAAACCAATGCTAATACATGGAACACCCCTTGGTGTGTGGATCATGTTTTTTTAACTCTCAGCTTCCCACGCTCACTCTCTTTTTGCCCTATTTTGCATTTAGATCCTGCGGCCATATTCGAAAATAGAAGGAAGTTTCTCCTGCCATCTTGGCCGTCAATCCCTCCCCCCAAAAATTGATCACTCACTTCATGGCTGTTTGCAGGACATTGCTGTGTGCAAATTGACTGCAGCGTTCGCCTACAAAATACAGTCGTTCCATTTTACAGGAAAACACTGTGAAGCGCTTTGAGGCGCTACCCTGTGCGAAGGGCACTATATAAATGCAAGTTGTTTACAAAAACTGTACACCGCAGAGACAGACCACTCAGCCCAACCAGCCCGTGCCGATCTTTATACTCCACACCAGTCTCCCTCCATTCCTTTACTCCCTCCCACACCTTTCTGTTCAGTCAGTCCAGAACTTTGGCGTCATGTTTGATCCTCAACTATCCTCTCTGCCCCACATCTGTGCCATGACCTACTCTGCCTTCCCCCACCTCCCCAACATCGCCCGGCTCCGCCACAATCTCACACCGCAGGCCGCTGAAACCCTCATATGTGCATTCATTACATCAAGGTTTGACTATGCAAACTCCCTGCTTGTCGGCCTCCCCAACTCCTCCCTCCATAGGCCGCAGATCATCCAGAACCAACTCTGCAGCCTAAGTCCTTTCCTGCACCAGGCTCATCCCCATCCTGGCCCGACTCGACTGGCTTCTCATCACACGGAGGATACAGTTCAAGATTCTGGTCCTCACCTTCAAAGCCCTCCATGATCTTGCTCCCCCCTACCTCTGCGACCTCCTAAACCCCTGCCATCCCGCCTGCTCCCTCCGCTCAGCAGGTTCTGGCCTGCTTCACGTCCCCCGCCTCGCTTGCCCTACTATTGGTGGGTGCCTCTCTGCCCCCACCGTCTGGAACTCCATCTCGGAGTCCCTCTTCCTCGCCCCCTCATTTGCCTCCTTTAAGACCCATCTCAACACCCTCCTCTTCGATTGTGCTTTTGATCACCCTGCCCTCCACCCTCCCCAACCCCCAGTTCGGGTCCAAATTCTGACTGTCCAGTGCCTTGTGACATCCTCCCACCGTGAAAGGGGCGATACAAAGATAATTTTATTGTTGTTGTTGTTCTGTTCCCCTCTCCGTCATGTGTTATTGACCCGTCTCAACGGCAATAATAAGGCTCCATACCAAATGCAAATATTACTATTATAAATTGCCATCAAGTGGTCTAATAGTATATAATTGCATTCGGTATAGGCGTTTTCTGGACGTCTCAAAGCGCTTCACAGAATATAGCGTAAAGTGAATGGACGGTATATTTTGTGGGCCAAACGCAGCAGCCAATTGCGTATATAGCAGCGTCCCACAAACAGCCGTGGATTGAAGCGACCAATTTATTATTGTGTGTTTTTCTGGAGGGATTATTATCAGGCGAGTGGGGTAAGGAAACGTGCCCGAGGGGGCAATCAAACCCCGGACCTCTCGCTACACAGATGTAATCTCGTTGTTGTTGTTGTTGTTGTTGTTGCGAGGCGAGCGTTCCAACCACTGAGCTACCGGAGCTCCATATTATATACTAATAATACATAAAAGATAAGCCCTGTCAAATGGCACGTCTCCCCGACGTGAAAGGCTCTGCACAAATGTCAGCTGTTGTCGTTGTTGTTGAGCAGGGAAGGGGGCGGGACCTTTCCTGGATTGAGTGGCGGGTGCACAGGCCAATAGCGAACCAGCGGGAGGGAATGGACCAATCAGGCGCAGCCATTCGGGAAGGGGGAGGCGGGCTCTGCTGATGGACGCGCGGCTCGGCCAATGGAAGGCTGCAAGACGGACAGGGCCCACCCGCTCCGGGGTGAGGATGACCAAACAGTTGTAATTTAACAGCATTAAGCGACAACGGGGGGCGGCCCCGGGAACAGGGGGTGGGGCCCGGGAACAGGGGGCGGCCCCGGGAACAGGGGGTGGGGCCCGGGAACAGGGGGCGGCCCCGGGAACAGGGGGTGGGGCCCGGGAACAGGGGGCGGCGGCGGCGGCGGCGGCTGAAGTGACTGAGGGACGGATCCCGGAGTTGGAAGCGGCGAAAGGGGCGTGTGGTGAAGGAGCCAATCAGGGCAGGTGACACGGCCGGCGGGGGCGGGGCGGCGATGATTGGCGTTGGGGGTGGACCAATGGCGAAGCTGGGGCCGCGGCGGTTGGCCAATGGGAGGCGGTGGCGTGGGCGGGGGCTGGTCTGGGAGTGACGTCAGCCGCCGGTGCCGGTGCTGGTGGCGGTGTAGGTGCTGGTGTCGGAGGAGCCGCGATGACCGCCCACTCGCTCAGTATCCCCCTGGTCTGCTTCACCATCTTCTGGGGACTGGTGGGCATCGCCGTGCCCTGGTTTGTGCCCAAGGGCCCAAACAGAGGGTGGGTGTGTGTGTTATGTGCTTATGTCCCCCCTCCCCCCCTCCCCTCCCCCCCCCCTCCCCCCCCCCCCTCCCCCCTCCCCTCCCCCCCCTCCCCTCCCCCCCCTCCCCTCCTCCCCTCCCCCCTCCCCCCCTCCCCCGTGTCCTGCCTTATAATAATGCAAAATAATAATAATAATGATGATGATGATGATGATGATGATCTTTGCATTTGATGCAGCACCAAAGCAATGGCAGGAATTGACTGCACTGTTGAATGCTCAGGGCATCTCCAGCTGCGGAACCGTTCCATCCCCCCCCCTCCTGAGACCTGCCCCCCCACCCCACCTCACCCCCCCCTCCTCCTGAGACCTGCCCCCCACCCCCCACCCCACCTCACCCCCCCCCCTCCTGAGACCTGCCCCCCCACCCCACCTCACCTCACCCCCCCCCCCTCCTGAGACCTGCCCCCCCACCCCCCACCCCACCTCACCCCCCCCTCCTCCTGAGACCTGCCCCCCCACCCCCCCCCACCCCACCTCACCCCCCCCCCCCTCCTCCTGAGACCTGCCCCCCCACCCCCCCACCCCACCTCACCCCCCCCTCCTCCTGAGACCTGCCCCCCCACCCCACCTCACCCCCCCCCCCCTCCTGAGACCTGCCCCCCAGCCCCCCACCCCACCTCCCCCCCCTCCTCCTGAGACCTGCCCCCCCACCCCCCCACCCCACCTCACCCCCCCTCCCCCGAGACCTGCCCCCCACCCCCCACCCCACCTCACCCCCCCCCTCCTCCTGAGACCCGCCCCCCCACCCCACCCCCCCCCTCCTGAGACCTGCCCCCCCCTCCCCCCACCCCACCTCACCCCCCCCCTCCTCCTGAGACCTGCCCCCCCGCCCCCCGCTCCCCGCTCCCCGCCCCGAAGGACGAGTCCAAAAGGCACGAGCCACGCCGCCCTCTTTGCTGAGCTCAGCGTGAGCGAGAGGCGGGCGGTGCGGAGCGGTGCAGAGCGGTGCGGTGCAGAGCGGTGCAGTGCGGAGCGGAGCGGTGCAGAGCGGTGCAGTGCGGAGCGGAGCGGTGCGGAGCAGTGCAGTGCGGTGCAGTGCGGTGCGGCGGTGGTTTGGCACTCGCCGGGTTTATGGATTGCACGAAGGGACCAAATGGCATTGCGTGTCTCACTGCTCGTGGGGCGCTGCGGTGGGCAGACCCGCAGCCGCTATGCTTTACAGCGTATTCTGCGAAGGGCCTTGAAACGTCTCGACGACGTGATAAGGCGCTGCTGTGTCGAATGCAAGAGTGACGATGCTTTTTATGATGTGACCAGATGTGACGTGGGGAGGGGGGGGGGACGGGGTGGCTGATTTTTCTGGACCGTGGATTTGTTTATAAAAGCAGCTTGAAGCTGCGACAGGCCCGGGGCGGGAGAGGGGGGATGGAGAATGAGATTGGAAGGGCTGAAGTGCCTACTTCAACCAAACCGATCTTGTGAAGACATTTTGTTTTGTAGCCGCTCCGTTAATACTTCCTTTGGTTATCTTCGGCTGAGATAGACTGACCTGATCTTTGCTTTGCAGTGTGGCCATCACCATGATTGTGACAACGGCTGTCTGCTGTTACCTGTTGTAAGTACCGACACATTTCATCTTATTAGACTCTTTTTTAGGTCACCAGCTGAGGTCTCTGTGTCCAACAGCATCGCGGGTTCTTTAACTCCCACATTGCCCGAATAATTTTCGTTTGCCGACAAAAAAAAACAGTACGATGTACTGTAAACCCCGTGAAGCGCTCACTCTGAGATGTCCTCGAGTTGTGAAAGGCGCTGTATCAAATGCCGTGATTGTGATTATTTAAAACGGGGATCGTGGAGGGTGGGAGGATGGCCAAAGGCTCGGTTAAAGAGAAGGTTTTTGAGAGCGCCTTGAAGGAGGCGAGGGAGGGAGTGAGGTGAAGGGAATGTGGGATGGAGTTCCAAAGGGTGGGGGTAGACAGGCTGAAGGCCTGACCGATGGTGGGGTGGGCCGGGCAGAGGACGTGGAACAGGCCACAGCCTGCTGAGCGGAGGGAGCGGAAAGTTTGATATGGGGTCAGCAGTACGCAGAGGTAAGAAGGAGCAAGACCATGGAGGGCTTTGAAGACGAGGATGGGGGATGAGGAGCCAGTGGAGCCGGGCGGTGGTGTTGGGGTCAGAGCCTGGTACAGGAGAGAACACGAGCTGCAGAGTTCTGGATGACCTGTAGCTTGAGGAGGGAAGAGTTGGAAAGGCCGACAAGCAGGGAGTTGGCGTAGTCGAATAAAAACTTATATAAGCGCCATTCTCATATGATGACGTCTCAAAGTGTTGTCATTTTATCTGCTAAACGGGCTCCGGCCTGTTCCATGTTCCCCCGCCCCACCATCGACGGTCGGGCCTTCAGCCCCCACCCTCTGGAATTACATCACACATCCCTTCTCCTCTCCCTCGCATCTTTCAAGGCCCATCTCAAGACCCTTTACGACCGTGCCTTAGGTCCCTCCATCTCTCCTGATTCCAACCCCCAGCTCAGGTACAAATCCTTGACTGTCCAGGGCCTTGGGACGTCCTCCCGCTGTGAAAGGCGCTGTGTAAATATCATTTGCTGCTGCTGCTGTTGTGTGGGTGTTGGATTGGACGCTGAGCAAGTAAGAAGGGGCCAAAAGTGAAGAGATATATATTAAGATATGATTTAAAGATATGGGGGTTGGGGGGCAGGGGTAGAGTCAGGAAATCCCAGAGGTTGGAGCTGTATTCCAGCAGTCCGAGAGGTTACCCTGTGTGAAGTGCGCTATGTAAATGCAAGTTATAGTTGGCTGAAAGTTTGATCACTGATGACGGGGGTTCGGGGTGCGTGGGGGCGCGGAGGCCTATGTTAACCTCGGAAACCAACAACATTGAACCAAGTACGGAGAAACAGGAGGCATTAGGGAGTAGTGGTTGGAGCTTCGGATGCTGAGGGAGGGAGCAGTGGAGGGAGGGAGCAGTGGAGGGAGGGAGCAGTGGAGGGAGGGAGCAGTGGAGGGAGGGAGGAGTTTCACTATCGGTGACCCTGAGAAAAGCTGAGTTTGAGGAGACCTGTGCTATCTACTTGGTTTGGGGTGATCAGCAAAGGGTTAAATTATCTTTCTGCTCGAGTTAGATGCTCGATGGGAATTAAGTATTAATATCCAATCCAAGCCACTGGGATCAGTATTTAACTGTGTGGGGCAAGAGGGCGGTGCTGACCTTAGACAGTATTTTGTGGAGAGAGGAACTCAATCCACGACTGTTTGTGAGACACTGCTATACACAATTGGCTGCTGCTAACTAAATTCAGTGCCGTCCTTTGTATGAGACGTTAAACCGAGGTCCCAGATGGACGTTAAAGATCCCAAAGCACTATTCCTCTCTAAGTTTCTCTCCTGATTTCCTGGCCAACAATCCACCAAATAAAATTGTTCATTTGAATTCGTGACTGTCTGTGGGACGCCGCTGTGCGCAATCGGCTGCCGCATTTCGCCCACAAAATGCACAATCACTACACTTTACAGTATATTCTGTGAAGCGCTTGGAGACGTCTCAAAGTCACTATATTAAATGCAAGGATTATTATTATTATTTGTCCGCCCTGCATGTGGCTAAGAGATAAAAAGATTTTTTAATTCTGCTTGTACCCCACTCCTCTGCGCAACCCCTTTGCTTAGCAGACGCAGACCTGCTCTTGTCCCCCAACCCTAACCCCTCCTCACTACCATTGGCGGCCATGGCTTCAGCCAATACATCTCTAACCTTTTGAATTCCCTGCCTCAATCCGTCACACCCCCACCCACCCCACCCCACTAGCCGCCTCTATCTATCTTTAAATCCCATAATCTTCAGTAAGTGGAGTCCCGTAGTGTGGGGTTAGCCCTCTTGATTCCAACCCCCAGCTCAGGTGCAAACCCTTCACTGTCCAGCGCCTTGGGACGTCCTTCCAACATAAAAAGCGCTGTGAAATGTAATGCTGTTGTTGTAATAATGTAAACACTGTGTCTCTCAGCTGGCTGATCGCAATACTGGCTCAGGTCAACCCACTCTTTGGGCCGCAGCTGAAGAACGAGACCATCTGGTATCTCCGCTACCACTGGGAGTAGAGAGTGAGCGGAACAGGACGAGGTACTAGCCTGGCGTGGGGGGGGGGTTGGGGGCTCGAGGCAAGAACTGGAATTGGTTGGAATCGGAAAGCGCTCTCTCTCTCTCTCTCTCTCTCTCTCTCTCTCCCCTGGCACAATCGCAAAACAACCTCTGGAACTTGTATTATTATGCTTTCAGCCACTGAATCCCGAAACTCCCGGTCTCAATCCCTCCGCCTTGCCCTATCCTTACCCATCTTCAGATGGCACTTGAAGTCCTTTCTCCCTTGATGTCCTGGCCAACAATCCCCACGGATACAATTGACCAGTTGCTCAACTGGCTCCAGCCTCCTGCTTGTCCCTCGTGCTCTCCAGTCCGCCAACGGTGGCTGCGCTTTCAGCCACTACGTCCCGAAACTCGGGAACACTGTCCTTCAATCCCTCTGCTTTGCCCGTTTTCCCCATCTTCAGGTTGTGCCTGAAGACCTTCCTCTTCGACGGTGCTTACAGCCACTTACAGTCGTGCTTTGCTACTGTCAAGCGCTCTGAGACGCAACCCCGTGTGAGGGGACATCGCTGTATGCAAATTGCCTGCAGAATCCGCAGTCAAGTCATGCTTTACTTGTCTTTCTGGGTCTCTCTCCTGCAGGTCTCTGGGTCCTTCGCTCTCAAACACTTGTACAGTACTTGATAGAATCTTGTTTTAGCTTCGCCTCGGACACGCTTCACATCCCAGCCAGAGAACGAGACCTTAGAGTGGAGTGGCATTGGGTGGTGATTACATAGCATCCCGGCAGCCAGAGACCTGACAGGGTGTGGTCACGAGTCCGAGATTACAGCAGGTGGAAGAGAAGAGAAAGTCGTGGCTATCCAGCGATCAGACTCCCTTCAGTCTGCAAACAATGAGTGTCTGGTTTAGAACAGTGCACTTTCACAGTTATATTTAGAATAGACATCACCTGAGAGTCCATGTCTGGAATCTAATCCGGTGGGTTGGGGGGAGGGGGAGAGGAGGGTTGTATATAGAGTAATGCACCACTGAGAGTGAGTTACAGGCTGGAATCTGATACAGGATGTATTTCGCCCATAAAATACACAACTTCACAGTGTATTCTGTGCTTTGAGACCTCTCAACGATGCGATAAAGCTCTACATCAAATGCTGGCATTATTATCATTACTACAAAGGTTGGGGGGGGGTGGGTTATATATAGAATAACAGAGCCCCCAGGAGTGAGTTTCAGGCTGGAATCTAATACAAGAGAATAATAATAATCCTTGCATTTGATACAACAAGATTACATTTGTATAGCGCCTTTCACGTCGAGACGTTTCAAAGCGATTAACAGAATATACTGTAAAATGAATTCACTGTGTATTTTGTGGGTGAAACACAGCAGTCAATTGTGCACGGACAGTCGTGGAGTGAGTGACCAATTTATTATTATTTTTCAGGGGGAATGGGTGGGGAAGTAATTCACTTCCAGGGAGTGTTTTCCAGGCTAGAAGAGATTGATGGGATGTTATGAAGTGTAAGATCAAGGTTAAAAGCAGCCTCTGGGCTCTTGGTGTTAATTTGCAGCACGTCACTCACTGACTGACTGATATTGGTTTGGTTTGGTTTGACAATGCAGAGCTTTTTAATGAAATGTCACTGCTGTGTAGTGCCATCAGAGCGCCCCCTGTCCTCTACCTGCGGTACTGACCATAGAGCTCACAAGTGAGACTGGTTCAGATGAAGAACCTATTTGATCTCTTCCCTCCTGAGTCAAAGCCCGACTGTCTGCTCATAATAAAAATCCTCGCATTTGATACAGCGCTTTATCACGTCTTCGAGACGTCTCAAAGCGCTTCATAGGATGTACTGTAAAGTGAATTGACTGCATATTTTGTTAGCGAAATGCGACGGCCGATTAGACCCAGCAGCGTCCCACAAACAGTCAGGGATTGTTAGCCCTGAAAGTGATTCACAAATTGAGTAACAACCGGGTTCCTACTTATTGCTAGGTAAACAGAAATATGTGGAATGAGGAAACTTGCCTAAGGTATTGCCCTGCCTGGGAATCAAGCTTCTGTATAGTATCATCCTTCTAAATCTTCTGAGATGTTTGTGTATCCCAGGCCAGCTGATCCACTCCGCACAAATGTGTTATCCCACTCTCCATCCCCCCGCCCACCCCCCCCCCCCCCCACACACACACACACGCGCGTGCTATAAATATACAGTCACTCACAATAAACAGAGACAATATTTCAGGAAATATTAACGGCCACTGATCACTTCAGACAAAGTTTCTGGCTCGGTGTCGGTTTCCCACTTACCGTTGTTGCTCTTTGGTTCAGGAGACAGCAGTGAGTGAGTGACTGGAACATCCACAAGAGAGTGTCATGGGGGGGGGCAGCAGCGGTTGCTTTAGCCACTCACAAACACACAAGGTTATAGGAACGTAGGAATAGGAATTGGCCATTCAGTCCCTCGAGCCTGTTCTGCCATCCTATAAGATCATGGCTGGTCAGTACCTCAACTCCATTTACCAACTTTCCCCATATCCCCTCGATACCCTGACCTGACAAATATCTATCAGCCATAATCCACAGCCTTTTGGGGGAGTGAGAGAGTTCCAGTTTCCCACTATCTTTTGTGTGAAAAAGTGCTTCCTGATTTCACTCCAAAGTGGCCAATCCCTCATTGTGAGACAGTGCCCTCTTGTTCTGGATTCCCCCGTCCACCAGAGGAAATAGTTTCTCTGTTACTCTGTTAACATTGGAGTGAGGTTAACTGCAGCTCACCTCTGAGACTGTCAGCTCGCTCACTTACTTAAGTCTTGGGTGAATGTGTTTTTATTTGATCAATGGCCAAATCCACACAGGTTAGAATGTGAGACACATCAACGTTCGCAGTAGATCACCTTTTTTTCATTTCCTCTTTCCTGTCTTTAAACACAAACATCGGAAGCCATCCATTGCGGTTTCCTCCGAAACTGTACCAACCCCTCCCCCCTCCCACTGCACCCCACAAATAAATGCACAAGGAGCAACAAGATAATCTGGAGATGTCTCAGAGGAGAACTTTACACAGTGACATAGGGCAAAAGTGGGTTTGGGAATATTACTCGGGCAGAGGTGGCAAGACGAGAGGGACAGGTTCTGGGGTAGGTGAGCAACCGTTGCAGGGCAGAGACTGGGAAGTACAGTCCGAACGCCTTCAGCTAAATCTTTGGGTTCATCGGCAGCTGCACCCAACCCTATTGTGCTCACCAAATTCCTTACACACGACACTCTCACCCTCTCCAAACTCCTCACACCTGTCACCCACGCCCTCACTGTACCCCCCTCTGCCCACCCGCTTTGCTCAGCAGACACAGGTCTGCTCTGTGCTTCCCCCAACTCCTCTGCAACACCTCCAAACCCCAATAATCTGGTCACTCATTCCACCGCTGTTTGTGGGACGCTGCTGTGCACAATTGGCTGCTGTTTCACCCACAAAATAGGCAGTCTACAATATATTCACTTTGAGACGTCTTAATGACGTGATAAGGCACTATATCAAATGCAAGAATTATTTCTCAGGTGTCTGACCAAATTATTTATTTAGGAGGTGAGGGGGGGACCCCACCTTGTTTGGACCTCTCTAACTCTCAGAGATTAAGGCTCAGGTGAGCATTAATCTCTGAAGACAAATAAATTATCAGGAAGCAGCTGCCTCACTTTCTGGTCTCTCTGTGGAAGGCGATAAGGAAACGTAGAAAAGACTCACTCTCAGCCGCGGGCCTCTGCTAAATGTGTGTTATTACCTGTAACATAATCATGTGTTTGTTGTACAGTCGCCATGTTTCTCTCCCTGTGATTTTTTTAGGACACTGTTTGCCTAGGTGTGGAAATAAAACGGAACATGTGTTAGGCTTAAATTTATTGTGTGCTTATTCATTTGTGGTCTGTGAGTTTGCCTTTTATTTTAGTTTCGGTCCCGGTTCCCCCCTCCCCTGCGATGTATGAGGAATTTTATTTCGGTCAGCCGGGTGTTTGACGCATACAGAACCCATCACCATGCTTAAGACTAACCAAACCAAGCTGAGATTTCCCACCTACACAAGGAAATTCCAAAGATAGATTGTTGGAATGAAATGCGGACTCTCTCGCTGCTGTATCTTTAATCTTGTGTTTAAATAAATTAATATATTAATTAAAATTTTATCGCTTATGTATCAAACACTCTCTGGTATCACATAATCCCCACTAACATTTCTGTTAAAAGGAAATAACTATTAAATATATGGTGTCCTATAGTGGAGGTTAGAGCACTGGCTTCCTTACTTCACGCCTGTTCAGCTTTAAATAGGAACCTGGTTGTTAGTCGATTGGAGGATCATAATCCCTTATGCGTAATAATCCTTAAAAAAATAATAATTTGGTCACTCAATCCATGACTGTAAGACACCAATGTACACATTTGGCAGTTCGCCCACAAAATAAGCAGTCAATTCACTTTACAGTATATCTTGTGAAGCGCTTTGAGACGTCTCAAAGACGTAATAGGGCACTATACCAAATGCAATTATATCTTAAATTCATATCTATTTCCTGGACTGCATCTTTAAGGATCTGGTGCCAAGGGACACGCGGCAAGAGCCGTGTTTACATTTCAAGTTCAGTGACGTCCTGTAACCTGGAAACTAAAAGCTGCCAAAATATATTCCATTACACAACGGCGACTCTCTCTGTACATTTGCCTGGGATTGTGTGTTACAAGGTTCAGTCAAGCCTGTGATCCTTAAAATCATTGTGTAGTTAGTCTAACTGCAACTCACCGGTCAGCCTCCAGGAATACAGTTACCGTCAAGCCTCGCTGTACAGAGACTCTGCAAAACTACTCTAGAAAACTCATGTCAGAATAATAATAACAATCCTTGCAAAGCGCTTCACAGAATATATTGTAAAGTGGATTAATTGTGGGTGAAACGCAGCAGCAAATTGCGCATAGCAATGTCCCACGGTCATGGACTGAGCAACCAAATTACTATTATTAATTTTTTAGAGTGGTTTATTACCCCCGGAAAGCGATCCGCCAATCAATTAAGAGCCGGGTTCCTACTTGGTGCTGGGTAAACAGAGGCGAATGGAGTATGGAAACTTGCCTAAGGTTTTGTCCTGCCCAGGAGTTGAACCCGGGTCCTCTCGCTTGCGAGGCGAGTGCTGTAACCCAATATGCTATGAGACTCTACTTCCTTATGGGAGCAACGGTGCAATATTTTATTAGTCAGTGGGTGTCTGGCTCACGTGGAAACCCGTCCCCAAACCAGACTTGAGTTTCAAGTCCACCCAGAATTTTCCCTGTGTCTGGGGCGGAGCGCACGCGCTCTCTCTCCACAGAGACATTCTGCCCTCATGATCCCCGGAACACAGAAGCCCAAAGGGAATGGAAATCTCACATTCTAAAGTCATTTTGAAATGTCTCAAAGCATTTCACGAGGATTTAATAATATTCAGAATAATAATACCTGCATTTGGTACAGCACCTTATCACGTTGTCCATACACCTAAGCATTTGATGTGATGTGCCACCAAGTGTAGTGACTGTGTACCTCGTAGGCAAATGCACATGGCAGCCAATGTACACACAGCGATGTCCCGCAAACAGCTGGTTACTGTGAAACGTAATGACTGTGCACACACAGTGGGGAAGGGGAAGATATCAGGAGGAAGATTGAATTATCCGGTGTGTGTGTTCTTTGAATTGCCTGTCCTGTCTGTGTGTGTGTGTGCTGTACGTTGCCTGGACTGTATGTGTGTTGTGTTCTTTATTGCCTGTCCTGGGTGTGTGTTACTTATTATGTGTTTCTGTGTGTTTATTGCCTGTCCTGTGTGTGTATGCTGTATTGTGCACCTTGTCCTTATGTGTGTTGTTTGTTGCTGTCCAGTGTGTGCTGTGTTGTTTATTGTCTGTCCTGTTGCTTATTGCCTGTTCAGAGTGTGCTATGTTGTTTATTGCCTGTGTGTTGTTTATTGCCTGTGTATGTGTGTTTATTGCCTGTGTGTTATTGTCTGTGTGTGTGTGTTGTTTATTGCCTGTGTGTTGTTTATTGCTTGTGTGCGTTGTTTATTGCCTGTGTGTGTTGTTTATTGCCTGT